GCACTAAGTCAACGTTGTGGTGTTGCAAGAAATCCATAGCAACCCTTGCCGTATGAGGGCGGGCATTGTCCTGTTGGAATGCTAACCCAGGGCCATGACGTTGCAGAAAAAGGAATTGCCACAGGTCGAAGACTCTGATCCCTGTAGCCCACACCAGTTAAGTTGCCCTGAAAAATCACCAAAGGAGTTCTTGGCGTGCTGTTATTCCACCCCAAATCATCACGGAACCACCACCACCAAAGCGACTCCTCTCCAAGACACAGGCCTGTGCATAATGTTCTCCCACGCGTCTATAGGCACGTTGACGACCATCACTATGGGAAATGTTAAACCTGGACTCATCTGTAAAAACAACATTTCTCCACCAAAACAAGGGTCTGCGGACATGATTTCGGCACCACATTCAGCGAGCTTGTCGATGACGTTGTGTCAGGATAGGCCGTATGGCGGGACGTCGTTGTCTGATCCCGTCATGACGTAAACGTTGTCGAACTGTGTTGGGGTGGATACGGCGAAGTCCTGGGATGGTTCGGGCAGTCATCACTGCAGTCTGAAACCTGTGGCGAAGATGGGTCACGTTTATCCATATGTCCTGTCTTAGCGTTGTTACACGTGGACGTCCAGAACGTGGCCGATCGATGACGTCATTTGTGTTCTGGTAGCGTCTCACCAGTGCAGAAATGGTGTTCCGGTGGCAGTGAAAATGTGCAGCCACTTGTCGTTGAGACATTCCCCCACGGACCATCCCAATGGCCTCATGGCGTTGTGCAGACGTGAGCCTTGGCATGCTATGCGTTTGAATAGCCGTTTAATTTTTTGAACGATCGCAAGGGCAGGGGTTGAGCTTTCCAAAGTGACAGTATTGTGTGGCATTCATTTGCTCTGTTTCTCTTTCCCGGAATGCACGTGCAACAACGTATTGCAAGTCTCAAGGACGAACCCATTGACGTCACGGAACGTGGCACGTGCATGCATGTTGGATACATGTCACTAATCTCTGAGTTTGAATCCTTATGTGTCTACACAGGTTTGATAAATTTAGATTTTAAATTTTTGTATTATTATATACTAATAATATCACCCGAACCCTCTCTGCTGCATACTATCTTTGATCTGTAAAACATAATAATGTCACTTATAAAGCGCAAATGTCCACACACTTATGAATGCTCAATGCGCTGAAAAGAATTGAGTAAAAGAGTCAGTTATTGGCACTTTGAAACAGGTGAGTTTTAACTTGAAGGTTGAGAAAGATTTACATAATTTGATTTCTAAAGGTAAAGAGTTCCAAAGAGTTGGTGCAACATAGGCGAAAGCCCTTTTCCCATACGAAACTAGGTGGAATTTGTGAACTTGTAGTAGGTGCTGATTCAGGGACCGGAGTGATCTTGATGGAATGTATTCTGTGACTAGTTCAGTGAGATATTCTGGAGCTTTATTGTGGAGACAGCTGAAAGTGATGCAGAGAAGTTTGAAGTTGATTCTCTGATGAATAGGCAGCCAGTGTAAGGATTTGAGAACAGGAGAGATGTGATCAGATTTAGTCTTCAGAGAAATAATTCTTGCAGCTGTATTCTGTACTTTCTGTAGTCTGGAGATATTGTGTTTGCTGAGGCCAATCAACAGTCCGTTGCAGTAGTCTAGTTTGGATAGCACTAGACATCTGACTAGGATGTGGGCACATTCCGCTGTGATGTACTTCCTGATGTTTCCTATGGATTTAAGATGAAAATAACATGATTTGCATATTCTGTTGACTTGCTCCTGCGGTGAAAGGTCTACGTCAATCCGAACTCAGAGGTCTTTCACAAGTCTCGATGTAGACCCTTGTGCTGAACCAATTGTGACTTCATTTCTGAGATCAGTTAGGTGATGCTTTCTACCAACAAGTAGAACCTCTGTTTTTTCATCATTGAGCTTAGTGTTTGGCCGTTCATCCATGATATTATTCCAGCAATGCAAAGTTCTAGTTGTTGGACGGCTGGTGATAGTAACGCAGGTGTGAAAGGCTTCCAGAGTTGGGGTATCATCTGCATACGAATAGTTCGAGATTTTGAAGCTGTCGATGACGGATTGAGCTGGTTTGTATCGATGAGAAAGAGGACCGGACCTAGGACGGAGCCCCGAGGTACGCCACACGTACATAGCTCCATTCATTAGGTTAGGGTTAGGGTTTCACACAGGGTGTTATGCCCAACGATACCGCCATCGGTATATAGAGGAACGTCATTGTGTTTCATAATGAGGTAGTGAGCGTTTTGTAATACACAAGGCAGGTGAAAATCCAGCCAAGGAGCAGTCAACCTTTCATAAATTTATATGTTTTAAAACATTTTATTAGGCGTAAAACAAGCTTAAAGTTTCAAAAATATTATATGCAAAATTACATTTTAACATTTTAAACTTGAATCAGCCGACTGTGGGTCTAAATCAGTTCGTTTCTCAACATCGTTTTTATTTTCAACGAAATCAGGAAGCACGCTTTAATGGCTCTGTAATGCCTGGTCAGAGACTCGTTTGTTTACAGGACAACGTCGTATGCTAGGAGCGCCGCTCTGTGGCGTTAATCAACAAACAGATGCTTACATGCTTATACTAATGGTGAGAGTTGCGGGTGTTACCAGGAGAACATGGCTTCCATTTTCGAGAACACCAGGTTTCATCATTGAGATTCAGTGATCCATTTTGATATTTTTCATCACCATTTTACTTGAGGCCCAAATTGAACTATTTCGGAAGATAATCGAGACTGTATATTCTCTGACGTTGACGTTGCCTTTATCTGCCACACAGCCATATCGGTGTTAAAGGGGGTTTGGGCCCAAGCTGATTGGCACGCCCCGCCATTTTGATTCAAGTAGTGTAAACCGAAGTTTGTTGTTTGTAAACCCACATGTGTTTTGGACGATACTGTACTTTCAAACATATCGGATTGGTCAACAGGTGTAATGCCTATCTGAAGCCCTCTCTGATACAAAAATTATTTTCATGCAACATATTCTTCATGATGTTTCGCTAAATATAATTATAGATGTATGTACATGTATCGTCTTTTAATTCCTTTCGGAGTGCTTTGACAGGATAATAAATGCAAGAACAGTGTCTCTTCTTGATATTTTTAAGGTTGAATTTCTAATCAATAACCTTTTCAGATCTGAAACGTTGAAACATTTACATAAGAGAAGCACTTTAAGTCGTTACAATTTTTACATTTAGAAAAATAATCAACGTGTCTTCGAAGTAATGTTCTGATGTGAATCAATCAGGTTGTTAATGATCACATAAGAACACTGATATAATGATAGACACATTGAAAATGGGTACCAATCAATGGCTACTTCTTTCCCTGTGGGCGGTGTGGTAACCTAATGGATGAAGCGTCCGCTCGTCACGATGAAGACCCGGGTTCGATTCCCCAGATGGGTACAACGTGGGATTTCTGGTGTTCCCCGACGTGATATTGCTGGAATATTGTTAAAACTATCGTAAAGCCATATTCATTCATTTACAAACTCACTCAAACAATCTTTGCCTGTAAATTTCCAACTGTGTTTGTAGCCGAAATGAGTGAGTGAGTTTAAATTTAAAGTCACTTTGGCAATATTTCAGCCATATCGTGAGTAGCCGAAATGAGCAAATCATAGTGCTGACGTATATGTCAAAATATATTAATTATTCACATGCGTGATTCGAAATCTAAACTGTTGCTGGGTTGGGCCGCCTGATTCAGTGTATTTTTCAATCGCCGCGTTACCTGAATAAAGGCTTTAAAGAGCTGGCAATTACTCGGATACAGGTAAGTATACAGGTGTGAAAAGCTTGTTTACTGATACCGGTGTGCTTTCATGTACAGGCGAGACACTGTAAATGTACTGATGTGAGTACATTGACCCGGCCCGCTTAAACCTCCGGGGGCCGGGCTGTGACAACGATGACGTTGCATGGTGATTCTTGACGGTCGTAACTCTAAGTGTGAGCGACTGTCGTACGGGTAAGCCTGAGCAAGCGATGTATGGTGAGAATAGCCAGTGATCGAACAGACATGCATGGTACGGCTTTATCCAAACTAACCTGCCTTGGAAACGAAACTATACACCCGTATTGTTAGCCAAAATTGAAAACCAAAAATGAAACGGATGTTCCATGTTGAAACATTCGATATAGGTAACATGGTTGTGTTTTGGACGTTACGTTTGGAATGTTTCGGCAAATGTTACTCTATTTTTTAATTCTTTTAATAATTTTTTTTAAATTTCTACATTTTTCTAGCAAATCCAATTTTGTGTATGCTATATCATCTAACCATCTAGTGCCAGATATAAATAAGAGGTGGGAGTTGACGGGGGATGGGAGAAAGGCTAAGTGAAAGGGATGAATAGTGTACAACATTCACTTTTAATTTGAATTTATGTCTTAAACACGGGATATGCCACATAATAATTAGTATTTTAATAGGTGAATGTCTAAGAACATAAAATATGACGCCATATTGCCTATAATATATTGTGAATGTGAATTTAGTAATTTAAGCGTATGGTCGGAGAGCGGAAAGGTCGGTGTTCGATCCCGTCTTATCAAACCACACCACAAAGTGCTGGTACCCTTGACAGGCGCTCGGCAGACCGGAGTAGACTGACTGACTGACTGAGTTTGGTTTTACGCCGCTTTTAGCAATATTCCAGCAACATCACGGCGGGGAACACCAGAAATGGTCTTCACACATTGTACCCATGTGGGGATTCGAACACGGATCTTCGGCGTGACGAGCCAACGCTTTAACCACTAGGCTACCCCACCGCCCCAGACCGGAGTAGAACAAGGGGTGGTCGGGGTGGAACCTGAGTAGGGTACCATGTCTAACAGCCGCATAGTATCTCAGTGGGCAGCTCTGTAACACCGGGATAAGTCCGGGCCTGTACCAGCCACACCCACTAGTGCACCCACGTGGCTGTATATGTGGAATAATCTTGCACGCGACGTTAATCCCCATTTCATCTCACCTGTCAGGTTTCTGAGCAATACTTCAGTGCTGCTTATCACCGACACGGGAATTTCTATGATAGCACAGTTGAACATAGGAATCGGGACTGGACCTCCTTTCACAAAGTACTAAGGTGATCGTAAGTCACTAAGGTAACCTTAGTACAATGTTAAAGAATGGGAGTTAAGGTTAACCTTAGTAAAGGTTGCTCCGTGAAAGGAGCTACTGGACTAGATTCTGTCTCTATTCATGACGGGCAATGGCTTTACGCTGACAGGTGCGATGACAAGTCAAACATGTACCAACCAGGTACAGCATCTTATAGTGAGACTGTGTAAATCGATGTTCGTGGTATCAATCACTGGATTGTCTAGTCCAGATCGCCGTAAATTATATATGGAATGTTGGTGATTGCGGCGTTAAACAACAAACAAGTGGACGACTTTCATTTTTTCTTACTAAGCATCCATTTTAACCACCTGGTATCCATTTGTGGGACTCTATGACAGTGGCATCACGGATTAATGGGATTTCACTGAGTGACCTTTACCCTTTCAATTCTTAAGGTTAACGAATTTATCTATGAATATTTTCAGTACAATCAAATAGTAACTGTACTAAAATTTAGGGTTTAAAGTTTTATTAAGGATGTTGATCATCTGCGGATGTTCAGCGAGTGAGGTTGTTGAGTAAGCGAGGTTGTTGACTGAGTGTGTGTTAGGTGAGTCAGGTTGGTAACTAAACGTATTGACTGAGTGAGGTTGTTAACCGAGTGAGGTTGTTGAGTAAGTGGGGGTGTTGACTGAGCGAGGTTGTTGAGTGAGTGAGTGTGTTGACAGCGATGTTGTTGAGTGAATGAGTGTATTGAGTGAGTGAGGGTGTTAACCGAACACATTGACGGAGTGAGGTTGTTGACTAAGAGCGTCGACTGAGTGAGGTTGACTGAGTGAGATTGTTGACTGAGTGAGGTTGTTGAGTGAGTGAGGGCGTTCTCTGAGGCGTGAGTTGGTTCCCAGCATGAAAACGCCACAATAAAAATACTCTCAACTCACCCGAAATTCTTCCGACCACGAGGACTCCTCCTCGTCCTCCATATCCAGTCTCCTGTACCTGTGCCTAGTCCGTGCCTCAATGGCCAGGATCAGACAAACTATTCCGAAAAACACACATATATAATAGTTTGTCATTGTTTAACGAAAAACAATCGCACGACGATGTCCTCAATCTGGTCCTCGATCACGTCAGAGGTCCGCAACTTATTCCAACGAAAGTCAACATTATGTCAGGAGTTCCTGGAGGAGAGTCACGACCACGATCCTAGACACACTGAAACTTTGGCATATATGTTGAGGTTTGTATAGGTGTAGGTTAGGATTGCGAACAGTTAACGTCAGGTACTTTCTACGGTTGTTTGGTAATTTATCACTACCAGGCAGACCTCAACAGGCCAGGCCATACAAAGCGCTAGCGTTAACCCCTCCTAGATCCAGTCTGATAACTAAGCTCTTTCTTTGCAAGTGAAACCTTATCGCTGCTTAACAAAACATAGAGAATTAATCATGGTAAGTGAATTAAATGCGAGTAATTCACATATGGAAACGGATCACATGCTACTTACATGGTTTCTGTGTATTGCTCAATGTTTACGTCGGTCTCTACGTCTTTTTTGTTGTTTTTTTAATTTTGTAGTATTTGAAATATATTTTTAATGAAGAGCGTATCAAAACATATATACGAAATAAGTGATTTAGATATATAATTTGATATCGATTTTGTGTCTCGGTTTGAAGTCTTGAATATATTTATTATGATCTGACTTTCGGATTCGTTGAGTTAATATTTCATATCAAAACATTTATCATAACTGTAAAATATATTGACAGTTATCGGCATACCTCAATTTTTTTTGGTTTATGAAATAGACGTGTGCAGTTTATCTGAAAACAAAATGGTTGTAGAATTAACGGACATAACATTACGATAATGTGGTTTTTTTGAGTAAACTAATGATTTTCCGACAATAGGCTCCATAATTGGCATGTGTAATTACACACTATCCCAGCTATACCGATCATAAAGAAATAAACAATTAAGAGAATAACTTAATTTAGAGACCTATGTGTGAGTGATTATGGGTTTACTCCACTTTTAGCAATAATCCAGCCACATCACAGCGAGAAACACCAGAAATGAACTTCACATATTGTACCAATATTGGGATTCGAACTCGGTCTTCTTCGTGGCGAACGAAAGCCTTGACCACTGGACTTCCCAGCCGCTCCTATTGTGCATTTGTATGAAGTTTATTTCAGTTTGTAGGCCATCGGCCATGTACAAAAAGCAATATAATGCTATTGTGCATAATGGCAATAGGCAGACATGTGTGTTGTCAATATATAGAAGATCGATATTTAAGAGATGATATGGTAAATTTAGCACAATTCAATAAAAGTACCATGTCATTAGAAGTTATTACCTTTATGAATTTACAAGCATCTGTAAAACAGTCACGTGTTGACTTTCAGTACTGATTCGCGAAGAATTATAAGATGTTTTTCCTTTTTTTACCAGTCACGGGTAGTTTTTTTACTCTGTAAACATGTGATGAAGATAAATGATCTCAGTAAAAAACTGTTAGAGTGAGTCACGTCTAATACATGCCGTCTTTGATTATTTCCGAGAAGTACTGATAAGACTCGGGGTCGAAGCAGTTAAAAAATCAAAACATTTTAAGAAAACGAGTAACGAGAAACTCTGTTTCAAGCTAATATATATATATATTTAAATATTTTCCCAATGTTCATGTCGTTGTGGTAATATTTGTTGTTTTATCCTAATATTTGGGGTCATCTGGAAGTGATTTCGTTGTGTTTATATATACATTGTCAGGACCACGAACGTGCCACGTATCACTCTGTGATCAACTCGCAACACTGCATGTTTAATGTGTTAGCAACCTTGTATGGTGCAGTCGCTGCACTGAGTTCGGTTTTAACGGGGTCACTTATTCACCATGGGAAAGGGCTATAAACCCATTTTTGTGATGTTCTTTATGTGTTTGCGGATCATCGGTAGTTGTGACAGTTAAACTCCGGTATTCAAGTGCACATAGTCAAAGGAAAGTTGCCACACAACAAACAGCCTGTCTTACAACCAACGATGATTTAAGGCAAATTGTGACATGTGAGATAGTGAGTGAGTGAATTGGGTTTAACTCTGTATTTAACAGTATTTCAGCTCTATCACGGTGTGTCAATTTAAATTGGGTGGGAAGCTCAAGTGATGTAGGTCTTAGACTTTTACCAACGCGAAGTAGAGCTAAATAATCAGCACGAATGTGGGTTTCAATCCCACGATCAGAGGATTGCGGCAACACCCAAGACTGTACAGAGAAATGCACAGAGTGGGTTTGGTTTTACGCCGCTCTTAGCAACATTCCAGCAATATCACCGCGGGGGATACCATAAATGTGCTTCACACGTTGTACCCATGTTGGGAATCGAACCCGGGTCTTCGGCGTGACGAGTGATCCTTTAATCACTAGGCTACCCCACCGCCTTTAACCACTAGGCTACCCCACCGCCCCGAGGGCTGCAAGGGCATAGAACACTGACTCCGTGCCCAAAAAAGAATTCATTGTCATATGATATATGAATTTCTTTGATTTCAAATAATAATTATTAATATGTCGTAATATATAACACTAATACCACTTTTGTTTTTGGTAGGAGTCTGCCGAACAGAAGTAAGTATATACCCGTGTCTGAGGGTGGCTTCTCTGGTGTTCGATAGTGGCGATATGTTAATTCTTCATACTGATATCATGATAATGTATTGGGACTAAGGTCCCCACAGTTTGCCGGCTAATAGCATATGACGTTTAACGTTTTTGGTCAAGTACTATTTTAAAGTGTGGTTTCTTTTGACAAACAGTCTATTGCCAATAACTACATACACTATCATCAGAGACCATATACCGTATATGGTCTCTGCTATCATAGACCATGCATATTTTGTTACTATGACTACAGTAACAATTTATGGTAAGGCATTTAGTTTCTTCTTGAACTACAATTCTTACTACGGCGACACTATAAGTTGTATGCTTCTCTCGAGGGTAATACGGTCTGATGTACGCCTCTTTGTAGCAGTGTCACCCGAGCCGGTAAGCGAGGGATGACGCTGCTACAAAGAGGCGTACATCAGACCGTATTACCCGAGGGAGAAGCATACAACATATTTATCTTACCGCCATGTTAAACGTACAAAATATCATTTTATTTTATGTTAAAGATCGCTACCGACTATATGACATGCAAACAAAATGGCGTCTGCCTCTCGACAGGATTTTTAACATCAGTGAAACATATTCTGACAAGCATAAAACTGCTATAAAATTGTTAATTATGTTTAAGCTGAGTGTGCAAACCACTCAATGTATAAAATAGCTTAAATAAAGCAGTGAAAGTCGGTAAAATAAATCTGTACAAAGTGAACACAAAAACAGCTGATCGAACGGTTTTCGAACTCCGGGAACGGCATGCGTCATATTATGACGTCATACGATTGTTAGCGCTTCAGCTTCTCGGTGGAGAGCTTGGCGGTTGCCGTGGCATCGGGTAATATTTTTTCCAGTTGTCACCCTAGCCCTATCCCTGAAGTGACCTGATCACTGGATTGTCACCCTCCAGGGAGGGTGACACGGAAACTTGTTAAACCGTCATTGACCAATGAAATTAAAGTATTTTACATGAAGGTAACATAACTTTCCACCCAGTGTCACTGGCCAAAATTGAATAAGGGTTAGTTCCTGCTCCTTTTGTTGGATCATTTACGTTTAACCGATGACAATCTTGTAACCGTGGGTAATTAACCCGCTACGTAACATGCCCCACTAAATAGTACGGCGAAGTAACACGCCTACAGCGATTGTAAAGCTGGTGCCAACACAGGCATAAGGCCTCCGCCTGGTTACGCGTCGATCGTATCAGCAGATGATTGATTTATCACTGATCGAAATGGACGGAGGTTTTCAATAGCCGTATCGATAATGGTCTCTGTTGAATTGAACTGGGAGCTCAGGGCGTTTGCTAAAGCATAGCAGAAATGTGTAAAGTGTATTGGCGAGTGACCAGTACAACTCGGTAACATCACTACTTAGGAACTACTACTACTACTACTACTACTACTACTACTACTACTACCACCACCCTTGAAATCAGGGTGCTACTACCCGTGAAATCAGGGTTAGAACTGGTCTTCAGCAACCCATGCTTGTCATAACAGGTGACTCACGGGTGGTCAGGCTCGCTGACTTGGTTGACACTTGTCATCGAATCCCAATTGTGTAGATCCACGTTCAAGCTGTTGATCACTGGATTGTCTGGTCCAGACTCGATTATTTTACAGACCGACTATTATTTACAGATAATTTTTGTCTTTTCATATGTGTGGACAATAGTTCGCCCCAACACTGGATATTAATATCCAATTAAGAAATGAGAATTATCTTGACTTTGAATATTTTTGAAGCCAACCTTTGACCAAGTGGATGAGAACAATGAAAAATCCAGGTGTTGGGGTCGTTTGTCGTGTTATCTCGGCCATGCAATAACTGTCCGTATACATAAGTACAATGGGCTAACCCACTTGTCAGCAGCCATGTACTTCAATTCAGCCCAAGAACGGGTGACACTTACTCTTCAACAAAGAATGGACATGGGGAAAAAAAGCAACATGTGATTGCAATGATGTGACCTACGACCTTCGAAACGCACGTACTACCATAAGGGTGCTTGACTCAAGCATTGTAGAAATTCCTTACTGATTATCTGAAGTGTTCAGGGAAGGCGAGGGGTGGTTGGGTAGCCCAGTGATTAAAGCGTTTGCTCGTCTCGCCTATAACCCGGGTTCGGTTCCCCATATGGGTAAATGTTTGAAGCCCATTTCTGGTGTCCCCCGCCGTGATATTGTTAAAAGCGGCGTAAAACTAAACCCACTCACTTACTCAATCACTCGGGTCTGGTGATATGTTAATCTCGTCATTATTTTAAACTTACATCTAATTCTAGTTGAATAGGAAATAGGAAACGCCTCGTGTGGATCACCGATGGTAGACAAACACAAACGTGAATTGTTTCAGCTACGAATGGGCGATGACTAATTATCTCGGGGCGAGTGAGTTGTGTTTTACGCCGCTTTGACAGTGAGTTGTGTTTTACGCCGCTTTGGCACATGTTTCAGTAAAAAAGGAGATTTAAACATTACACCCATCTGTAGATCGAACCCAGATCTTCGGCATGACGAGCGGACGCAGTAGGCTTACTAGCTTCTCCTCTGTTGGAACGAAACAAGGATATAAACAACACCTCTTACGGCTCGCCGACGTGGTTGACACATGCCATCGTATCCAAAATGCGTAGATAGATGCTCATGATGTCAATCACCTGACTGTCTGGAACCAGACTCGATTATATACAGATCGTCGCCGCATACCTGCAATATATACCACTAAAAACAAATAACTGAGAATTATGTGATGTTATGCCATTTTAATGCAAAATGATAATAACATGATTTGTGGTGTTTTCCTTAATCACTGTTTAACTTTTGACAGGATAATATCGAAATCTGTATGATTTGACACTAGGCATCGTGACACGCCCTTCGATAGATGTGGTGTCAAAAGTCAGTTAATAAATTCAGTATCGTGTGTGTCCACCATTGGCGTTGATGCGGGCTTGACATAATGACTACACTAAGCGATTGAAGAAACTTTCGGGGATGTTGTTCCATGTCTGAAACAACGCTTGTCCCAGTTCAGCTAACGTCAATGGCTGATTCTGTGCTTGACGTAAACGTCGCTCCATTTCATCCCAAGCGTGCTCGATAGGGACAGGTCCGGAGAAACAGCTGTTCGGGGAGTACCGGAATGTTCTGCTGTCCCAGGAAATCTGTCACAACGCGAGCGACATGTGGACGGGCATTATCTTGCAGGAGCGTAAAGTTACGTCTCTCGTACGTCTATGCCCGAATGAACGAATCCCTATATCGCAGACCTGTCAGACTGCCATTGACAATGACAACTTGTGTCCGACCATGAGATGTGATGCTTTCCCATACCATAACGCTCGCGACATCAAACTGTCGACGTTGAACAACGCTCGTGTCACCATACCTTTCACCCTTGCCCTACCATCTGAGCTGACCAGATGGAATCTCGACTCGTCAATGAACAAAACAATTTTGTCACCTGTACCGTAGTTGCTGTCTGCACCAAGCAAGACGTGCCTGTTGGCGACGTTGAAGCAAAATTTGACGTTTTGCAGACCGTTGGGGCCGGATGTTGTGCTCCCTAAGTCGGTTCAGTACAGTCCTGGAACTCATTGGACGTAAGCCAGAAATGGTCCGAGAAGTCAAACTGGCAGTCTGAATCGATTCCTTACATGGGTCAGCCGAATATGGTTGTCTTGCTGACGTGACGTCACACGTGGACGGTCGGTCCGAGGCAAATCTCTGGTGTTCCCATTATGTTGAAAACGTCTCCATAGCGATGAGATCGTGTTTCGATGGACACCAAAATGTCTACCCACTTCTTTTTGGGCCATTCCAGTCTCCAGCATACCCACGGCGCGGATACGCTGATTTTCTGTAAGCCGTGGCATGACGTACGCGCAGTTTAGGTTAAAATGAACATGTTTTCCACAACATTCAGAGGCAAGAGAATAATCAACCATTCTTCAAATTTCAACATCAGGTGTGTAGACTTCAGACGATGTTCTATGAATACAAAATGTATGTCTTTTGTCTAAATGGTACAGCATTGAACAAAATGTCTGGTCTACATTGACAAAGCAACACGAATGCACAGCGATTCTTTATAACAGAGCGGTATGGAAGTGGGTCAAGTGTCAGTAAGTTAACCCTTTATGTCACACTATAGATAATGCGATAATCAGTGGACCTAAGTGAGTGAGTAAGTGATTTTAGTATTACGTCGCTTTTAGCAATATTACACATAATACCCATGTGGGGAATCGAACCCGTGTCCTCGGCGTAACGAGCGAACGCTTTAGCCACTAGGCTACCCAACCGCCCCCAGTGATTTTTAAGAATTTATATGATAAAACAATGGAAAAAGCAAAGGTTTCAAATTTTATTGTGAATGTTGTGAAGTTATAACTTATATTGTGACCGTTAACATCCATACAGCTCCACGCGCAAGCCCGGGTGTGTCCCCGCCCCCTTGTGCCACGTGAGGGGGAGGAAGCGGACAAACCGCGCCCGGATTGGGGGGTCGAACGGCTTCAGCTGAGGAATCAAATAGGACGCACTGCCGTGAAATATCTGAAGATGAATAGAACGTTTATCTATAAATCAACAAGACAACAAAGGGTATATTTTATATTTATATTAATATGACAATATTTATTACGAACTATGCAGACGGTGAAATGAACTCGGCCAATATAAACTCAGGTCACCATCCGATACGTGCATGATGCACCAGTTAGTACGTAGTTGTGATATTTCACGTTATGATTGAAAACGAGGCGATCATCGTATATTCGACTTGAGAGAAATATTTTACTGTTAATAGAAATTAGTTACAAACTTTGATATGGAGCTACATCATATCTATCTGATGCCGCTAGATTGTGTTATGGTCACGTGAACTAGTGAATACAGTTCCTGTATGACAAATGGTATTAGGGTAAAGTTGCGTGGGTTAAATTATCTCTCAGTAGACTGATGTTTTTATGAATAAAGACGCAGTTCGTATTCAATATTTTTTTCAGTCAGCAATCAAACATAATACTTCAGGGAGCGGTTTTTTGTGTGTTTTACCTCGCTTTTAGTGGCATTATAATTATACCTAAGTCTGAACCGACACCAACCAGTACATGATATCAGGAGGAACACTCCGTGGTCTCTGAAAATGATCACAAATAAGTAGTGTTCGAAATAGCCACTGGCCCGCTAGCCCGTGGCTAGTAAAAATCCAGTCGGGCCAGTAAATCTCCACAGTCACTGGCCCGAATGGCTAGTGAATTTTCATGGGGGTCATTTTGTAAATACATGTATATCACTCTCTCCGACTTGTTAAGTTATAATACACTTTTAAATCATGCAAGATTATGGCCTGATAAAAATGTTCATCATATTAGCAGCTTAATGATGAAACCCGTGTCTACATTCAAAGTTCGGGCCAGTGAATAATTTTGTGGGCTAGTAACTTTCAGGCATTGCTAGCCCGACTGGCTAGCAAAATTTGGAAACTATTTCGCACGCTGCAAATAAGTATAAGACAACACCATGGTTACTGTAGGGTACCCATTTACGACGTCACGGATAATATGAACAGGGGCTCTGATTCCGTTACACTATGCAGAACAAGCAAATGAAGTGAATGTTCGTGTCTCTATTTCATCCTCACGGAAACATACACTCACTCACTCGCCCGAGTTAGGTCATTGATGCTCACCTCAGTCTTCTTAGTGGCAGCGTCAAGAACGTCGGTGAAGACGTTGCCGTCGGTGCTGTACTGGACCGTGAACTCGCTTGTGTAGAAGTTCGTGCTGACGCCCTGAACAGCGAGCCGGTTCAATTTCATCTCTGTGTTCAGATCAACCTGCCGGACACAGGTGGAGTGATCGATGAATCAGACACAAATCAAGAGGGAGATCTATCGGAAACAGTTCCTTATGGTGGCTGATTAGGGCCATCTCGCTTTCTCGTCTCGTGATATCGCTTTCTCGTCTCGTGATATCGCTTTCTCGCTTTCTCGCCTGAGAATTTTAAGGCGAGAAAGCGATGGCCCTAATCAGCCACCAGAGTTCCTGGCACAATTTAAGGGATCGATACCATAAAACACAAACTGAGTAATTGATATACTTGAAAAAATCAAAGATTGATATACCAGACAGTAATAAAGAAATCGATATGCCGGACACTACCAAGATATCGACACGGATCTATCACTAAGGGATCGACCTATTGGACACCAGATATCCATTTGTAAATGCTACCATTAATTGTCAGCCTTTGTGTGGTATCGGGTCTCAACAGGTTCCAGGTACGTGCGACCTGGCTGAATGTGTACAATCAACAACTAGTACACCTGCACCATACCTGTACTAGTGGCCTTCATCAAAGTAATATACTCTTCCAAAAAGTAGGGGAACTTCATTATTAATTTACGATTGGAAAAATTGGGAGATATATCTGAGTCAATCAATTTCCATATGATAATAATGAATGTTTTGAGAGCGCATCACCACTTGGACTTCTGTATGACCATCGTTGTTGGTACAGTAATACTGTTGAAAGATGATTGGTGTAGGACGTCAGATTTGCACGTGTACGATTGTCATTCAGTAGTGTGTGATTCCACCACGAAGGGTCAGACATTTATTCAGACCACGAGTCATACTATACTGATGTGCAAAAGAAAGTACACACTTGGTGCTTTGAGACTATCAAAACAACGTAAATATTTTGCTAGCAATGTTCCAATTGGGTACGATATCTATGGTGTTATTGCAACACGTACACAATGTTTGTGACTTGTGAGTCGCAATCAAAACACTTTTCTAAATATTACGCTGTTTTCAGGAAAACATTGTACCAACGCATCAGGTGTGTACTTTCTTTTGAAAGTCAGTTTTACGTATGAGTCTCCCAATGACCACTTGGGGGATATGTTCCATTCTTCTTGAAGCGCATACCAAGTCCATCCAGTGTAGTGTTTAGGGGTGGTGATAAAGAGAAATGGTGGTGTGTTCATAAGATGTCTTCCTTTGAAAATACTTTTAACGCTTATACTTTTTATCCAAATTGAAAGTTCAGGTTTCCTTACTTTTTTGGGAAGAGTATCTTAGTGAGTGAGCTTAGTTTTACGCCGCAATCAGCAATATTCCAGCAATATGGCGGCGGTCTGTAAATAATCGAGCCTGGACCAGGCAATCCAGTGATCAACAGCATGAGCATCAATGTACGCAATTGGGAAGAGTATACTAAACGTCTAAGATCAGCATTACTCCCGGCCTTCCTCCCACATTAAACAGACACGCCATTATATAGCTGGAATACTGCTCAAACCTTCCCGCCTAGACCTCCCATAGAAGTCATCCCCCCGTCATAAAGATGAATCCCAGAATTACCTGCAGCCAGGACCCCAGTCCCTGCCCCACCCATCCCACACCAACAGGTGCGTCCAGTCGTCCGTCAGAGGCCTGGGAGCCGTTGAAGCTGTAATGTGCCGTGATCTGGGCGTCAGGGACCACTTTGTTCTTCATCCCAACACCGAGGGGGTTCAAAGAACATACTGAAACAGGAACAGATCTAGACATGAAGCCGTTCCTGTATCCAATATTAATTTGAAAAAACAAACAAGAATATTTTATAAAACAATTCCTGTTGAACGTCTCCATGGCGGATACACATCGCTATATACTTCATATGCCTTAACTGTAACACAGAAATCTATGGAATCCGAGAAGGGACATTGTCGCTATGTATAAAACAATTCCTGTTGCAACATCGCGACAACGAAAATATATGTCTTGTCCATGGTTCCGGATACTGTTTTACATCGCTATATATGGGGCGACGCGCGACAACGCGATATGCCTTGAAAATTGTCGCTATGTCGCGTAACTGTAACAAAACGCGAGAAATCGACAAATGACGTTAAAATGTTCATCTTCGCGTTTTGGTTAAATTCTGCCTCTCACTGTATTACTGTTATATTTGGTAAGCGTCCGAAGTCCCATTGAACCATCGGTTCTTCCATATATACCGAAACTAAAGTATTCGACAGTCAAGGTAAAGAGTTCCACCTACAGACATCGCAGGCCCTACCCCCATAAAGGGGCATGCAGTCGCAGCGGAAGCCCCCCGGGACGTCCACACACGTCCCCCCGTGGAGACAAGGCCTTGAGGAACACAGCTCTCGCTCTACAACAGCAGATAACGTATGGAAGTGTTATGTTCTGCATTTTCAAATAATTCAGTCACGACTAGTCCCTTTGCTATGAGGTTAACACAATAAGATTAACATATACACAAGAACATCACATCCATACACACACCCATCCCTCTCTAACAAAATAATTTCAGATCATTGAATTCAATCCAGGACATATTATTTCCACACGTCGCACCATACAGTAACGAAGAAATACTGGTTGGTTATCATGGAAAATGTCTAAATCCCATAATCTACCAGTGACCATCCGTGTTAGAATTGATCTTCAGCGCAACACATGCTTGTCGAAAGAGGCGACTAACGGGATCGGGTGGTCAGGCTCGCTGACGTGGTTGGCTGACACATGCAATCGTATCCCAGTTGTGTAGATCGATGCTCATGCTGTTGATCACTGGATTGTCTCATCCAGACTCGATTATTAACAGACTGCCGTCATTAGGAATATTGCTGAGAACGGCGTTAAACCAGAAACAAAATTATACGAGAATCAATACAAAAGTAATAAACGAATACACATGTTTTAGGACACATGAATACAGAGAGTTATGTATACATCATCATGTTTGAATACTCTACTGGGAAAAGAAAGTATACGCTTGAAGATTGTATTTGACCACAATTTACAAAAAACGAAACCGAAGATACAGCACAGTCGAATGACCATTTGTTGTTTGTTACATTTGTCGACACAATCGAACATGGGTCATATGCCCGGCAGTTTAGACTCTACATTTGAATAATTGATGTCTATCTTCAGTGAACGATGGGTTCACCTACGACGTACGCCGATGACGTACCTCTGATGTCAATGGAGAAGGTTCCGTCGGCGTACTTGCCGTCTTTGTCGGTGATACGGATACCGAAGCTGTAGGTGGCGTCGTAGTTGGGCGCCATGCCGCTGATGACGCCGGTTTTGTTGTTGAGGCTGATGCCAGGTGGGAATCGACCAGATATCAAGGAGAACTGTAACGCTCCCCCCTCGGGGTCCTTGGTTATATAAATCAGTGAACAGTCAACCGTCTTCCAGACACTTACTTCTAGGAACCCAGATGCTAATGTGATCGATTTTGGCAGAAATCTTTCTCAAATGTATTATACAACCTTTTGTTCGTTCAATATTTTTTATTCACCAAACGTATTTTGTCATTACTCATTAAAAACATGTGGGTTAAATGTATGTGGTATCTAAATATCCTCATCAAAAGTTGAACAGTACAGTACATCCGGCACGGGTTCATTTTTTTCATTTATTTAAATACTTCAAGAATAATGTCATGTTCACCGATACCTGGTAAACCTGAACCTTGAATATATAAATATAGCTTGGAACTTCCTGGGCCTTACACAAACAAACATACCAAGCATACCTAGGCCTTACACAAACAAACATACCAAACATACCTAGGCCTTATACAAACAAACATACCTAGGCGTTATACAAATACATATACCTGGGCGTTATACAAACAAACATACCTGGGCGTTACACAAACACACATACCTGGGCGTTATACAAACAAACATTCCTGGGCGTTACACAAACACATATACTTGGGCGTTATATAAACAAACATACCTGGGCGTTACACAAACACACATACCTGGGCGTTATACAAACAAACATACCTGAGCGTTACACAAATAAACATACCTGGGCGTTACACAAATAAATATACCTGGGCGTTACACAAACACACATACCTGGGCGTTACACAAACAAACACACCTGGGCGTTACACAAACACACATACCTGGGCGTTACACAAACAAACACACCTGGGCGTTACACAAACAAACATACCTGGGCGTTACACAACAAACATACCTTGGCGTTGATGGTGACGGACAGGTTCTTCCCTGCGGACGCTCTAACCACTACACCACGGAGGCGGTCCCACACCTAGGCGTTACACAAACACACATACCTGGGCGTTATACAAACAAACATACCAGGGCGTTACACAAAAACAAACATTCCTGGGCGTTACACAAACAAACACAACTGGGCGTTACACAAACAAACATACCTGGGCGTTACACAAACAAACATACCTGGGCGTTACACAAACACACATACCTGGGCGTTACACAAACAAACATACCTGGGCGTTACACAAACAAACATACCTGGGCGTTACACAAACAAACATACCTGGGCGTTACACAAACAAACACACCTGGGCGTTACACAAACAAACACACCTGGGCGTTACACAAAACAAACACACCTGGGCGTTACACAACAAACATACCTGGGCGTTACACAAACAAACACACCTGGGCGTTACACAAACACACATACCTGGGCGTTACACAAACAAACACACCTGGGCGTTACACAAACAAACATACCTGGGCGTGGGCGTTACACAAACAAACATACCTGGGCGTTATACAAACAAACATACCTGGGCGTTACACAAAACAAACATACCATGGGGCGTTACACAAACAAACATGCACCTGGGCGTTACACAAACAAACATACCTGGGCGTTACACAAAAACAAACATACACACCAAACAAACACACCTGGCGTTACACAAACAAACACACCTGGGCGTTACACAAACACAACATACCTGGGCGTTACACAAACAAACATAAACATACCTACCTGGGCGTTACACAAACAAACACACCTGGGCGTTACACAAACAAACATACCTGGGCGTTACACAAACAAACATACCTGGGCGTTACACAAAACAAACACACCTGGGCGTTACACAAACACACATACCTGGGCGTTACACAAACAAACACATACCTGGGCGTTACACAACAAACATACCTGGGCGTTACACAAACAAACACATACCTGGGCGTTACACAAACAAACATACCTGGGCGTTACACAAACACACATACCTGGGCGTTACACAAACAAACACACCTGGGCGTTACACAAACAAACATACCTGGGCGTTACACAACAAACATACCTTGGCGTTGATGGTGACGGACAGGTTCTTCCCTGCGGACGCTCTAACCACTACACCACGGAGGCGGTCCCACACCTAGGCGTTACACAAACACACATACCTGGGCGTTATACAAACAAACATACCAGGGCGTTACACAAAAACAAACATTCCTGGGCGTTACACAAACAAACACAACTGGGCGTTGCACAAACAAACATACCTGGGCGTTACACAAAAACAAACATACCTGGGCGTTACACAAACAGACACACCTGGGCGTTACACAAACAAACATACCTGGGCGTTACATACCTTGGCGTTGATGGTGACGGACAGGTTACACAAACAAACACGGTCCCACACCTGGCGTTACACAAACAAACATACCTGGGCGTTACACAAACAAACACACCTGGGCGTTACACAAACAAACATACCTGGGCGTTACACAACAAACATACCTTGGCGTTGATGGTGACGGACAGGTTCTTCCCTGCGGACGCTCTAACCACTACACCACGGAGGCGGTCCCACACCTAGGCGTTACACAAACACACATACCTGGGCGTTATACAAACACACATACCAGGGCGTTACACAAAACAAACAAACATTCCTGGGCGTTACACAAACAAACACAACTGGGCGGTGCACAAACAAACATACCAGGGCGTTACACAAAAACAAACATACCTGGGCGTTACACAAACAAACACACCTGGGCGTTACACAAACAAACATACCTGGGCGTTACACAACAAACATACCTTGGCGTTGATGGTGACGGACAGGTTCGTCCTGCGGACGCTTACACAAACACGGACACACCTGGGCGTTACACAAACACACATACCTGGGCGTTACACAAACAAACATACCTGGGCGTTACACAACAAACATACCTTGGCGTTGATGGTGACGGACAGGTTCTTCCCTGCGGACGCTCTTACCACTACACCACGGAGGCGGTCCCACACCTAGGCGTTACACAAACACACATACCTGGGCGTTATACAAACAAACATACCAGGGCGTTACACAAAAACAAACATTCCTGGGCGTTACACAAACAAACACAACTGGGCGTTGCACAAACAAACATACCTGGGCGTTACACAAACAAACATACCTGGGCGTTACACAAACAAACATACCTGCGCGTTACACAAATAAACACACCTGGGCGTTACACAAATAAATATACCTGGGCGTTACACAAACAAACACACCTGGGCGTTGCACAAACAAACATACCTGGGCGTTACACAAACAAACATACCTAGGCGTTACACAAACACACCTGCGCGTTACACAAACAAACATACCTAAGCGTTACACAAACACACATACCTTGGCGTTACACAAACAAACACACCTGGGCGTTACACAAACAAACACACCTGGGCGTTACACAAACAAACATACCTTGGCGTTGATGGTGACGGACAGGTTCTTCCCTGCATCAAACGTGCCGAGAGAGTCATGTACAGTTTGTTTGGTCCAGACAGGTGGGAGGCTGTTCACCATCTGCATCATAAACACTGATACATCCAATATAGTCATGCTCAGAGGTGTTCATTTTGTCTAATCCTGAACACCCGGTGTCGGCACCAATTTTCATTACTCCATTCATGAAATTTTCACAGCTATTTTGCCAATGGTTCAACGGATGCTCTAGACTGGTTGCAAATCTATCTCACATACACAGTAGCAACGAAACGTATAGATATATGTGTTAGAAACGAAACAGGGGTGTTTACGGTTTTTTAAAGTCTTAATACATATTGTGTTCGAAACTATGGTTTCAGATTTCGTATGCGAAACGGATATAGCATTAATTTTATCCAAATCAATATTTTACTTATAATTTTCAATAAGCGAGACACTGGCTAGATGTTTGGCATCATTTGGACTATTTATAAAGTTTATATTGATCACTCCGATTTCACAAATCCGAGGGTGATACACAATCGTTTTCTGCCCTTCTATCATATTTCTTGAGTGTCACACATAACATACGCAGCCAAGTACCGTTGTGTCGACGTTTAAAGACCTACGTAAATACTTCGAGGAATCGGGGTGGTGGGGTAGCGTCCGCTCGTTGAAGGCCTGGGTTCGATTCCCCACATGGGTACAATGTGTGAAGCCCATTTCTGGTGTCCCCCGCCGTGATATTGCTGGAATATTGCCAAAAGCGGCGTAAAACCATACTCACTCACTCACTTCGAGGAATCGGAGGTTCGTCACAACTGCAAAATAAATACATAGAAATAATGAGGGAATAAGCTTTTACTTAAGACAACCGTCAGTTCGACATATGAAAGTTCGACACATCGGTATTTGACTTTACCTGCCTAAAAACATTATATATCTATATCTCGAGTAACCATGTTACTGACAGCGATTAGGCCTTCAATGTCGTAGCCGTTGATGTATAGAGATCCAATTTTTCCGGGGTACAGCAATATATCGCCTCCAACACCTCCCTGCAAACGAAAAACAAGTAAAGGCAAGGGGAACAATTATCAAGCTGGTTATGATCACTAAAAAGCGGTATTTGGATCTTCTATCCTCTGATTAAACATTTTCAATACCGCTGTAATACAAATATGAAAACTGTGGAAGACAGTTCCGGTATTATTATATATACTGTTCAAGCTTTGATAGGGAATTTTTATTTTGGGGATAGATAGGACGTTATTTCAGCGACTGCTTTTCATGTGTATACTCTCATGTGCGCGGCAGTTTACAACCAATGTTTCAGATAATCGGAAACCAGTCCGTCCAAATTGAAGATTTTCGTGAGCGTATGTATTTCAATATATGTAGACATATTACCTGAACGACAACGCTTCCATTTGGCTCGGCCGTGACGTTTACATTTGGGTAGTTTACCTCTAAAAAACTGAAACATATACACACATTTTACAATTGGAATCAGCATTAAAATTTGAATTCAAATTGCGTGACATCATATCAAATAACCTCACCTTCCATAAAGCTTCACGACGGAGAGAGCCAAGGTCAACAAAACTAACAATTTCCCCTCCATTGCTAACTTTGTTTCCAAATCTTCTCACATGGCGAAGAATTTTGCGAACTATTTCTTCAAGCGGACCCCGTTCAGGAGTCAGTTGGCGGTATTTTTTAAACTGCGGAGGAATACACTCTCATATCTACCATCAGCGAAGTAACAAGAGCAGTTGAGATGACCTTTGGTTTCATTAAAAGATAACGGTATGTGTTAGTTTGTATGCTTAACCAATTGTACGCATGTTCACATGTTACGTAATCAGTGTGCAATCCTCAGTCGGAAGAAGTGGACGTTTTCCAAGAAATCTTCAAACGTTAATTCCGAGATCGTGTCGTCATTAATAACGTCTTTGTTTCCCCACTCTGATAAGGATATTTCAAATTAAACTCCCTCCTATCAACCCTTTCAACTTTCTACTTGAGCCTATTTATTTCATTTTTTATTATTTTTGGAGGGGTGGGGTGGGGGTGGGGGTGTCCAAGTAGATTGCTTAGTTTAATCAGATTTAAGGGTTTTTTAAATTGAATTGTGTAAAGGAACTATCATGCATATTTTAAAACATTTACAACATAAATATAATTAACAGCGTTCAAAGGAAGCACGTTCTCGGATGGTGAATATAGAACATTGTGGAAAACATATTTCAGCATAATTATCGGATAAATAGCGCATTATTTTGTTAAATTATTTTTCTCCATTTACCAATATAATTTACCTGATCTGTGATGAACACATTTACGGTTTTTGTGATGATGATGATGATGAAGATTTCACGAGCGCTTCAGATGGTACCGATGTCGCATTCGGAATAGTTCGTAAAATCCCCTTTTCCCATTCGATATGAGTTGGATCGTTTAGTGAGTGAGTTTAGTTTTACGCCGCACTCAACAATATACCAGTTATATGGCGGCGGTCTGTAAATAATCGAGTCTGGACCACACAATCCAGTGATCAACAGCATGAGCATCAATCTACGCAATTGGGGTACGATGACGTGTGTCAACCAAGTCAGCGAGCCTGACCACCCGATCCCGTTAGTCGCCTCTTACGACAAGCATGGGTTACTGAAGATCAATTCTAATCCAGATTTTCACGGGTATTAGAATGTTTAGAACTAAAGCTAAAATACAATGATGATCACAGTGGGCGTGCACTATATAACCCACATTAGTCCGGACTAATACAGGCAGTAAGTATGTAAGTGAAATAATGTTGAATGCGACGATGATCTTTATTTCCTCACCTCGCCTTACCCCTAATGAAACTCGATTTTTTTTGTCTAGATGCAAAAATGCATATCAAAATATCAATTAATCTAAAATACAGGACCTAATCTTCTTTAATGTAACTATGGTTATGAGAGAGTGCTATGTATTTTAATCTCCGAGTGTGAGTTCTTCCATCTGTCTATCACTATGTGAGTGAGATCTACCTACTGCGTACGTTACCCTCAGGTAGCCACATACCTGTGTCGGGGGATAAGGCGACAGCCTCCACGAACGCTGCAGGTGATGTCTCACCTGCATTAGTTCTGTTTCATACAAGGCTGCTAATATGGCACCCATCTTCCTGTTAGTTGTTCTTTTACAGATAGGATGTGTTCAAAGTCAGGTAAAAGGCGGGTAAGTATTATATATTTTTACGCTAAAAACATTTTAAAAAATGTTTGATTTGAAGCAAAATATATTTCTACAAGAAATAATGCTATTCTGGGACTGATAGGATTATCTGTATGGTGTGTTTTGCGATAAAATATTTAACTAATCTTATTTCGTATTTTTGTTATTGTGTTTTTATAACACTTGTAGTTTTAACACTTTTCTCCATTCAGTATCTTGGAAATCCATTACCCAGACATCGTGCTGGAGACGGACGGAGATGGTAACATCACATTTGGGGTAAGCATAATATCTCCTTGTTCGACACACATATTGTACATCCAGTAAGCTACGGTTATATCGAGTGAGTGATTGAGTGACTATGGTTTTACGCCGCTTTTAGCAATATTCCAACAACATCACGACGGGGGACACCAGAAATGGGCTTCACACATTGTACCCATGTGGGGAACCCGGGTCTTCGGCGTGACGAGCGGACGCTTTAACCACTAGGCTACCCCACCGCCCCGGTTATATCGAACTCAATAACCGTAGTTTGTTATATACTCGGCGTCATTAATGAAGGGTCAAGCTATTGGTAACACTATTTCTTAAAAGTTGTAAAATCCTCGTTTTTGTTTGAAATATATGCAACTGAATGTTTTACAAACTTTTTTAACAGTATGGGAAAATACATCATGCCGTTGAAATGTCATTATTACGTTCTTTAACGCCCGATACATTCTGTTACAAATGGCGCATTTTTTATTCAAATTGTCAACATGACATTGTTATATCCGTCAGTTCGTTATATTCGTCAGTTCGTTATATCCGTCAGTTCGTTATATTCGTCAGTTTGTTACATCCGTCAGTTCGTTATATCCGTCAGTTCGTTATATTCGTCAGTTCGTTATATCTGTCAGTTCGTTATATCCGTCAGTTTGTTATATCCGTCAGTTCGTTATATCCGTCAGTTCGTTATCCGTCAGTTCGTTATATCCATCAGTTTGTTATATCCGTCAGTTCGTTATATTCGTCAGTTCGTTATATCTGTCAGTTCGTTATATCCGTCAGTTCGTTATATCCGTCAGTTCGTTATAAACGTTGTTTACTGGACCGTGTTTTGCAGCCCCAGATGTCTCCACCCGGGACATCATTAAGAGGTTAAAGTGGAGTGTTCCTGTATTGGTGTATATTATTGTAGATCAGATGTGATGAGTTAAAAGTTAAACGTTAAACCGATTCCATGTGTTACAGGCGGGTTCTTCTGGCAGTGTGTATCTGAGACCTGGAACTGGGGGGACGGTGCTGTATCATGACTTTGATCTCCTCTACTTCATCAAGGTGAGAACACAAAATACATGCAATATACATATGATGATTCACGTTTTACAGATAACAGATTAAATGTTTTATGTGAAACATAACATACGACATACAACATGTAATTTCTGAATATCAATATATAGTATACAGCGCATTACATGTAACGTATGAACAATAATATACATCAGATACAACACATTACATGTAACATTATCAACAATTATACATAAAATACAACACGGAGCGTGTAACGTATGAACAATAGTACATAACATACAACACATTACATGTAGCATTATCAACAATTATACATAAAATACAACATGGAGCGTGTAACGTATGCATTATCAACAACATACATTACATGTAACATTAAACAATATAAATAAAATACAACACGGAGCGTGGAACAATAGTACGTAACATACAACACATTACATGTAACATTATCAACAATGAACAAAAATACAACATGTGTAACGTATAACAATACGTAACATACAACACATTACATGTAATTATCATTATCAACAATTATAATATAAACATACAACACGGAGCGTGTAACGTATGTAACAATCAACAATTATAAACAATTATAAATAAAACAACACGGAGTACAATAGTACGTAACATACAACACATTACATGTACATAACATACAACACATTACATGTAAACATACAACACATTACATGTAACATTATCAACAATTATACATAAAATACAACATGGAGCGTGTAACGTATGAACAATAGTACGTAACATACAACACATTACATGTAGCATTATCAACAATTATAAATAAAATACAACACGGAGCGTGTAACGTATGAACAATAGTACGTAACATACAACACCTTACATGTAACATTATCAACAATTATACATAAAATACAACATGGAGCGTTTAACGTATGAACAATAGTACGTAACATACAACACATTACATGTAACATTATCAACAATTATAAATAAAATACAACACGGAGCGTGTAACGTATGAACAATAGTACGTAACATACAACACATTACATGTAACATTATCAACAATTATAAATAAAATACAACACGGAGCGTGTAACGTATGAACAATAGTACGTAACATACAACACATTACATGTAACATTATCAACAATTATACATAAAATACAACACACGAGCGTGTAAGATATGAACAATAGTACGTAACATACAACACATGTCAACATTACATTACATGTAACAATAGCATTATCAACAATTATACATAAAATACAACATGGAGCGTGTAACGTATGAACAATAGTACGTAACATACAACACATTACATGTAACATTATCAACAATTATACATAAAATACAACACGGAGCGTGTAACATATGAACAATAGTACGTAACATACAACACATTACATGTAACATTATCAACAATTATACATAAAATACAACACGGAGCGTGTAAGATATGAACAATAGTACGTAACATACAACACATTAGAAGTGGAATCCTGAAATTGCCTCCTTTTGATCTGAGCCACTTTTCGGCCTGAGGATCTGTGAGGTTTTGTTTCCCGATTCATCAGTGAGTGGTGCTAAGAACCAGTCACGGTGTTAATTGACGCGCCTCCCTGCGATGTCGGATTTTTGGGAAGCAAGTGCATGACCTCGGTGACCGGAGACCAGCCTCACGGAGATGAAGTCCTACACATTGGGATACCAATGCATGCCAGCCTTACGGGAGACGATTAAATGCCGTCGAAGTAGAAACGCTAACGCCACTCGTTCCGTAGGTTACTTCTGAGTGTGGTGACAGACATTAAATGAAGACGTAATGATGCCACGGGAAGCCCCTCTTCTCGCCCGCTCTGTGGTCTTCTCGCCCGCTCTGTGGTGGAACGCTGTCGACCACCTGCATGCCGCGGAGTAGCTGATCCAAGCTCATCACGTTTTGGCTGATGCCATATTAGGCGTCTGCAATGTGACGTTGTGTTTCAAACTAGATACCTATGCATATGCTTAATTTTTCGGTCGTCAAACAACGTCTTTGACGCTTAGGGGTATAAGAGCATTCAGTTATTTCAACCATCAGTAAAAATGTCTGTTTTGCTTTCTGTTAATTGACTTGCAACGATTCTGTCCAGATACTACCAAACACATATTTTTAGGGCATCGTGCACATTTTGCCCATGGCGGCAAGTCAATGTGCGTCCACCATTAGAAATGAGCTACTTTAACTTTTTTCAACCACTGTGTTCTTTGACATTTTTCTTTCAGTTTTGTTGGATGAATTTTGAATGTTATTTAACTTGATATGTATATTATGTAAGTCATATATTGCGTCATCTTTTCTCAGCACAACTGGCTCTTGTACGCATATAGACTAAACAATAAAATTGTTCTGTAGTATGATACTTGTATATCAGAGGTCTCTTCCAGATCATGCAGAGTTTCCCGCCAGTTTGGGGCGTCCCGTCAGCTGTTGGCTTCTTCGGCAAATACAACGGCGGGGACTACGTCAACATAACGCTCAACGCCAAGGTACCAGGTCATGTCCTCATTCATAATTCATATTTTATGCTATTGCTCTGTTTAAGAGGGTTCCGTGTACAACTGAACGCAGCCATTACCTCGAAATGATATCTATGACCATACGACTTCCATTGCCCTCTGCTCATCTGTTCGCATTGTTCTATTAATGAATTCAAACTGTCTCTTGAATTCCTTACAATAGTTCCTTCACAAATCTATTTTTCTATATACGTTTCTCCTTTACTATTAACCTACACACGATTAAATAACACAAAATTTAGTTTCTAGGACATCTAGCAGTGAATGGGTATCGGAGGGATGAGATATGACTGTTGAGGTTCTAGCGCCTCACAGGCAACTTCGGTTGTAGTGCACACTCATCCATTGGGCGGGATAATAATGTTAGCGCTTTGAGTGAGTGAGTGAGTTTGGTTTTACGCCGCTTTTAGCAATATTCCAGCAATATCACGAAGGGGGACACCAGAAATGGGCTTCACACATTGTACCCATGTGGAGAATCGAACCCGGGTCTTCGGCGTGACGAGCGAACGCTTTAACCACTAGGCTACCCCACCGCCCCTGTTAGCGCTTTGAGCGTACTCCTTGTACATCATAGCTAGCGCAATATACATACATACATACATACATGTATACATACATACATACATACATACATACATACATACATACAGACACATACATACATACATACATACATACATACATACATACATACATACATACATACATACATACATTATTTTTGTAGTATTGTATATTAGTATAGCTATTTCATGAATGTAGCAGGTACCTCATGACGACGATTAAGAGGATAATAGGTGTGTCCAGTCATATTTCCAGGCTAGTCTTGATGCTAGTGACCACCCTAACAATATATGAATCAATATCTGTTTAGGATCCGGAAGGGGAAGAACTGCTCTACACCGTCGTTGCCGGTGACCTTCCAACCGGTATTGTCCTTGACCCCAGAAAAGGTGTCATCCGGGGCTTTGCTCCCGACGAAAACGCATATTACGTTGTCACAATCCGGGCATCTGACAATCAACACAAGCATGCTGATGCTGTCTTTCGGTTTGAGACGAAAGGTATTTGTTACTGTCAAAAAAATATACAGTTAGTTATTTGGGGATTTAAGTAATTGTTGGTCACTGGTTAATATCAATGGAAAACGACAACGCAAGAGAATGATCAGTCTCGATCCCCACCCCTCTTTTTCTGTCCTTGAAGTTTATTAAATGACCATAGAAACTATCGTGAAAATGAAGAGTGCACCCCCACTTTCTCAATAAGCTGTATCCGCCCCTGCTGTGTTATAACCGGTACTTACGACGGTCGTAGAGTTACGACCGCTTTGTGACAAGTGGCCCTGGTGTTGGCGTGTTTATAAACAAGTTGTCTGATTCGGGGTTTCCGACGTTTTTCTCAATATTCCGATCCGCCCGGAGAGCGGAAGGTCGCGGGTTCGATCCCCGACCGCGTCATACCAAAAGACGTTAAAATATGGTACTCGTTGGTCCCTGTCTGGCGTTCAGCATTAATGGGTACAACAAGGACTGGTCGGCTCGGAGTCAGTATAATGTGTCTGAGTGGGGTATTCATGCTTCACTGCGGCATGGTATCTCAGTGGGCTAGCACTATAAAACCAGCTTCAGTCTGGGCTAGTACAAGCAGCCGCACATACACATACACACGCATGCACGTCGTCATATGAGCGAAATATTCTCAAGCGCGACGTTAAACCCAATTTCACCTCACCTCACCTCACCTCACCTCAATATTCCGACAATATCACAGCGGGTAAAACCAGAAATGGGCTTCACACATTGCACCCATTGTATTCTCAATTTTGATTGGAGACGTGATGCAATGTCATATGAACTATAAGGTGTGTGGGTTGGGTTCAACGTCGCTATGAGCATTATTCCTGCAATATCACGGCGAGGGACACCAGATATGGGCTTCACACATTGTACTCATGTTGGAAATTGAACCTGGGTCTTTGGCGTGTCGTGTCGTGGCGCTTTAACCTCTAGGCTACCCCCACCGTCTCGCGTGTTTACGAAAGTTTATCCCCCCTTCAGATACCGACAGATGCAAGCTTCTGACACCGTGTGAGAACGACGGACATTGTGAGGATAGGAATGGCTTCTACAAGTGCAACTGTGTCGGGGTCTTCGGTGGCACGAATTGCGAGAAAGGTGAGCGTTAATGCCATCATATACATACAGTTTAGGACCGGTCTCCCTCTCACTACTGAAACTGATACATATTAGTAGATAATTAGGATAGCCTTAGCATTGAGCATTCACGATTGTGAAACGAAGTCCCGGATTTGTTGGGATAAATGGAGTGGTCATTTTGTGGTATGATGAGCTTCGTCAGTGATATTCTTGGCCATTTTCCATTATTATCCTTTTTTTGTATGTGTTGATTTGGCAAAAGCAAAATTGAAAACACGTCCCAAGAAATATTCATAAACGACTCAAGAGGAATGTAAGAACTTGACTATAGTTGATCTGCCATGGCTGATGGGTACTGGAACACCCAACTTTCTAATTGTAGGTGTTCTTTGAGGTGTTTTGAGTAGAAGACCTCACGTCTTTGGAATTATCATTCTCTATCAATTGCCAGTGTCCCACATGGGTTATATTCATGTCTCATGTCTCCCTCAGCATGTAATGAAACATCATTCGGGGTAGACGCCCATCACAAGCTCATCCCCGACGCACAGATGTCTGCGTATCGGAGTCAAAACACCAGCTTTGCCTCTGATGGCCGTCTGAACGGGAAGGGGTGGTGTGGGATAGACCAGCGCTCCTGGCTCCAGGTGGATCTCGGTAACTATACTACTACTACTACTGCTACTACTACTACTACTACTACTACTACTACTGCTACTACTACTACTACTACTACTACTACTACTGCTACTACTACTACTGCTGCTGCTACTACTGCTGCTGCTACTACTGCTGCTGCTACTACTACTACTACTACTTCTGCTACTACTGCTGCTGCTGCTGCTACTACTGCTACTACTACTACTGCTACTACTGCTTGCTGCTGCTGCTACTACTACTACTACTACTACTACTACTCTACTACTACTACTACTACTACTACTACTACTACTGCTGCTACTACTACTACTGCTACTGCTACTACCGCTGCTGCAACTATTACTTACAATTACTACTAACTACTACAACTACTACTACTATTACTGCTGCTACTATTACTGCTACTACTACGACTGCTTCTATTTTCTTGGCTGCTACTACTACTACTACTACTACAACTATTATTGCTACTACTACCCCTGTTGCAACTATTATTGCTAATACTACTACTTGCTGCAACTATTATTGCTACTACTACTACTACTACTACTACTACTACTACTATTTTATGTAATTCCTTGTCTTCGCTGCAACCAAATAAATACTCACCTCAATCAAACTCATTTGGGTTTTTGCCATACTACTTACCTTTGATCTCTAATATGAGAAACTAAGAAAGACTGCTGCTAGAACCTCTCAATATACTGCCATACACCAGCTATTTGCTTTTGTGTGTACTACTACGCGTAATTTGTACTACTTCTACCCCTGCTGCAGCTATTGCTACTATTGCTACTACTACTACTACTACTACTACTACTACTAAATACTACTACTACTACTACTGCCAACTATTATTGCTACTACTACTACTACTACTACCCTGCTGCAACTATTATTACTACTACTACTACTACTACCCTGCTGCAACTACTACTACTACTACTACTACTGCTACTACCATTACTACTACTACTACCCCTAACTATTATTGCTGCTACTACTACTACTACCGCTTTCTCTACTACTAATACTCCTCCTGCTGCAGCTGCTACTATTACTCCTACTACTGCCAATACTACAGCTTCCACTATTATTTACCAGGGGCGTAGCTACCATTATAAAACAAAGCCCGGGCTTACACTTGATTGTTGTTAAAAAGGTTTGGCAAGCCCTCAATACTATCTAATTAAGACGGTTTGCAAGCTATCTAGCTTACACGAAGAAATTGGCTTGCTGCGCGCCTGTTTCCGACTATTGGTGCCACTATGATTGTTTTGTTGTCTCTGTTAGTATGTAGTTCAAAGTGTTAAAATGAATAAATGTGAAATCTACTCACTCACGAACCCACTACCACAACTATTACAGCTCCTTATAATGTTATCCCCCAAGGTCAGCTGAGGCTCGTCCACCGCATGTTGATGGAGGGGATCACAACCAACCTCTACACCGGTCTCTACCAGCTGCAACACAGCAGGGACGGTCACTAACTTCCTCAACTACACACAGGCACCTGCAGCAAACTCCACAGCCTCACCCGTCGTCCTGGTAAGACGTGTTCAGTGAGTGAGTGAGTGAGTTTAGTTTTACGTCGCACTTAGCAATATTCCAGCTATATGGCGGCGGTCTGTAAATGATCCAGTCTGGATCAGACAATCCAGTGATCAACAGCATGAGCATCGATCTGCGCAATTGGGAATCGATGACATGTGTCAACCAAGTCAGCGAGTTCCATGCGGCAAGCCAGCATAGTATCTATGCCACAGGCCAGAAAAATGTGACGATTCGTCACATCTTGCACCGTCCATTCAATATAATTTACATATTTCTCGACTCTTTTATTTTTGACGAGTCTACACAACTAATTAAACATCTTTGATAGAATGGTTTAGTTTCATTGAGAAATTATCCTAAAACATGTAACACTATTTCGATTTGCGTAGCGATCCTTTGTTTACATTGGTTGTACGGCTCCACGTCCTGTCATCGAAGCTGATGGAGAGCAAACGATGCAGACAGTTTGATATCTAAATACTGTCATAGACCTTACTGTCGCAGTTGTGGAAGAATATATATGTAACAATGTAAAACATTATGAAGAGAGCGCCGAAAAGCTTTCGTGAGTCCAGTCTCTTCTTATTATGAATAAGCGCGTTTGATTACAAACAAGAGAAAAGTCCGGTCACGTGATATGCAAATTAGCCTGTGGCAGTGATGTTATGTTAAGTCATCGCTGTGCCGGAGTGTGTCTGACTGACTGACTGAGTTTGGTTTTACGCCGCTTTTAGCAATATTCCAGCAATATCACGGCGGGGGACACCAGAAATGGGCTTCACACATTGTACCCATGTGGGGATTCGAACCCGGGTCGTCGGCGTGACGAGCCAAAAAGTAAATAAAACAAAACAGTCAAATTAACTTTCTCGATTATTTTGTTACAGAAGATGGAGGGCAACAGTACGGTAACAGAGACGCTGTTACCCACAGTGCTGACCACTCGCTATGTACGTTTCCTGCCCCTCAGCTACGGCACGGGTTTTATCCCTGCATGAGAGTCGACATATTCGGCTGCGACATCTACTACTAGCCATACATAAACCATGTCAGCACAGAGCTACAGATTAAACTGATAACCGTGTAACCCATGATCTTGTTGTCCTTCCTGGCGATAACATTGCAAAACATTTTCACAAAGCTCGCCGTAATGTTTTTCGACAGAGGCTTAATTGTACGTGAGTGAGCGAGTGTAATAAGAAAAAGAATATAAATAAAGATGATGATGATGATGATGATGATGATGAGGACATACAGGACACTAAGAAATGGGGGCGGTGGGGTAGCCTAGTGGTTAAAGCGTTCGCTCGTCACGCCGAAGGACCGGGTTCGATTCCCCACATGGGTACAATGTGTGAAGCCCATTTCTGGTGTCCCCCGCCGTGATATTGCTGGAATATTGCTAAAAGCGGCGTTAAACCAAAATCACTCACTCACCCTAAGAAATGTTCTAACGAGTTGGCCGCCTCCGTGGTGTAGTGGTTAGTGCGTCCGCCCGGAGAGCGGAAGGTCGCGGGTTCGATCCCCGACCGCGTCATACCAAAACACGTTAAAATATGGTACTTGTTGGTCCTGTCTGGCGCTCGGCATTAATGGGTACAACAAGGACTGGTCGGCTCGGAGTCAGTATAATGTGTCTGTGTGGCGTAAGAACGATGTTACACGATCTGTATTCTCAACAAACATCTGTTGTGCATCCAAATGATATCATGGAGATAGCTTCCTGTTTGTATTTCCAGAAAGACTGATAAACTCACTTGAATATAAACACGCATTACTATCTTGTTGTTCATTAATAAACATACTGAGGGGAAAAAGAAAGTACACGCCTACGTTTGAAAATTGCTGAAAAAATAACAAACAAGAAATGGTCATTCAACATTGATGTAATTGAGGCGGATATCTAGTTAGGTCTAGACCTCAACTGTCCAGTGTTTTCAACCTAGTAACATTTTGATAAGGTTGGGATTTTATTATTTTTTGGAGCAAATCCAGTTTTCATGTGTTTACATATACTAGTCATACGGAGAAGCCTCAAATGTAGTGTGTGATCTCATAATCCTCATGGATTTTTCAATTTTTTCATCAAATATGATGTCTGCACTACGTCACCACTGCTGTACATAACCCGGGTTCGAATGCCTACATGGGATCATTTTGTGAAACCAGTTATTGATCTCAACTGCCGTGTTATTGCTGGAATATTGCTACAAGCTGCTTAAAACCATACTCACTCACTCATGTGATGCAGGTTTATTCGTATAAATCCAATAATACGCTAATAATACTGAACATCCAAGAATCAAACACCAGCCTTGGATTCGAAACTACGGCCAAAGGACCTTGGCGCTCATAAGGGACACAAAGTAACCCTTTCACCATTCATACGAAAATAAGATTGCATATGTTTGTTTCAGCAGCATTACAGCTGTACGATGTTGTTGGTAAACAAATCGAATCTTGTCTAGTCTAGGGTTAAAGCGTTGGCTCGTCACGCCAAAGACCCGGGTTCGAATCCCCACATGGGTACAATGAGTGAAGCCCATTTCTGGTCCCCGCCGTGATATTGCTGGAATATTGCTAAAAGCGGCGTAAAACCAAACTCAGTCAGTCAGTCTGAGCAAGAGCATTTTCCACTGTACCTCAGACGTTTTGAATACTGCTCGACATTAAAGGGAAGTTGACAATTGGGACGTTTAAATCAACCATACAGCCTTGTGGAGAGATTTTGACTCTGAATCTTTATGCATAGATCTAAATATGAAACAGCTGAGGCGGTCTCACTTGTCGCCTTGATTTCTTCGCAAAGGCAACGAATTCAAGCGCCGTAGATGACCGGGTCACCCAAGAAAGAAGGCAGCAATTAAAACATTAATCATGTTTATTCTATGCGAAGATCTAGTACAAGTGACATCCCAGCAACTCCACTCTCATGTTTGGCATGTAGGACTTGTTCCAGTCTGTAGGCACCAGTCTCACGTAACGGGTCAGCAGCGGCAATGTCCTGCCGGGGTAGCTGGTGACCACTGCAGCCGAGGTCGACCCTACAAGTTCCTGCAAGAAACGTTAATATAGTTAAGTGAGTGAGTGAGTTTAGTTTTACGCCGCACTCAGCAATATTCCAGCTATATGGCGGCGGTCTGTTAATAATCCAGTCTGGACCAGACAATCCAGAGATCAACGGCATAAGCATCGACCTATGTAATTGGGAACAAGATGACATGTGTCAACCAAGTCAGCGAGCCTGACCACCCGATCCTGTTAGTCGCCTCTTACAAGCCATGGGTTACTGAAGATCAATTCTTCACGGGTTGTCTCATTGAGTAAATTCTATTGAGCCGATACGATACCTCCCTGTGTGAATTCTGCCAAACTCCATAACATCTCATAAAAGAGTGAGTGAGTATGGTTTTACGCCGCTTTTAGCAATATTCCAGCAATATCACGTCGGGGGACACCAGAAATCGTCTTCGAATCCTGGATGGGACTCAACCCAACAAAACTACAAGAATCTGTACTTTACTAAGAAAGTGTAATCCCAAATAACATATGTTGCATTTGACCGCTTGGCAAGGTGTAATCATGGTGTTTTAAATACAGATCTGAAATTCCTAAAAACACAACAACCTTGTAAGTAAATTGATGCTAAGTATCCCGGTACTGAACGCAGTTACCTCCACGACGCCGCTGAAGGGGTTGGTGTAGTTGTGGAAATGACTGCCGTCGAGGCTGTACTGGACTAGGTACTTGGAGGTGTAGTAGTTGCCGTCTTGGCCTTGCATCTGCACGCCGTGGATCAACGTCTGGTTGCCTAGCAACATAGAAGAGTGTACTGAGAGACGGTCCAATAATTTGTTATACCTGGTCAGATATTGACTTGGCGAAGGGTTTAGATCACCTGGAAGTCCGGAACTCTCCCAAAGTCATAAACAACAGACCGTACTCTCATCTGACGTCAACTTGGCGAGAGTTTAGCTCACCTAGATCGATCTGGAGCCAGGAGTGCTCCCCAACTCCGAACCATCCCTTCCCTCCGATCCTTCCGTCGGATGCGCTGTACGTAGTGTAAGTGAGGTACGCCGACATTTGAGCATTATGGACCGTCTTAACACTTTGAGACACTCCAAGAGCGTTACCTGTGCAGTCTGAAATGGACAAATACATAAATCATAAGGGTACAACACAAGGTTGCCAAGACATTGAATATCTCTCGGTGGTAATATTTCTCTATCAAGATATAATCAGGGATTTCTGGAGATATTACGTCTATCCACAAAGTCGTCATCCCATTATAGGAACATACTCAGCTCGCACAGTTTCCCGCCATAGGGATGGAGACAGTCACATCGGAATGTTCCTTTGTGTTCTTCACAGGTGCTCTCGTGCAGGCACGGACTGTCCATGCAGACATGGGAATCTGGAAATACATACAATTACAATATTAATGTAGAGCATTCATAAAAAAACATTTGCACATTACACTCTAAATAGACTTTCCAGGATTAAAACAATTGTGAACAAGTTAAAATTGGCCAATCTTGAAATCGTGAGCGAGTATGATTTTACGCCGCTTGTGGCATTATTCCAGCAATATCACGGCGGGGGATACTCGGGTGGGGTAAAGAACCCGGGTGTTTGGCGTAACGAGGGGACGCTCTAACCACTTGGCTACCCCACCATCCAAAATGTTGAAATCGGGTAACAGGAACCAAAGCTACATTACTTTTGACAGCAATTTTGAAGATTGCGTCTGCGAAGGCACCCAGGGTATTGGTTACGCGGACCGTCACGACGTAGGTGGCGTCAAGGTCGGGGGCCACACCCTTCAGTTCCCCAGTGAGAGGGTCCAGACTGATCCCCACGGGGAGGTCCCCAGCTATCACGGTGTACGTCATGCCACGATCCTCGGGATCCTGCAAAGGTCAGGGGAGTAGATATCTCATTGATCACCATCAGAGCAATAAAACAGACTGAGTGCTGACAGATCCACTTGCATTTCTTAATAAGAGTAAGTGAGTGAGTTTAGTTTTACGCCGCACTCAGCAATTTTCAAGCTATAAGGCGGCGTTCTGTAAATAACCCGATCCCGTTAGTCGCCTCTTACAACAAGCATGGGTTACTTGATGGTTCATTCTAACCCGGACCTTTACTAAAGACCAAAATACAATGTTTCATGGTGGCGGAAAACGACACATACCAAAAATCGTTTTTCAGTGGAGATGTACTTGTTTCAGGTATTATACTTGTGGTTTTGACCTTGAGTTTAAAGTAATTCGGCTAACTGGTTAGCCTAACAAGTCTTTTATGACGTCTCTATTTTTGGTCAAATTAAGATTTAAAGTTTATAATTTTCTCTTTAACCAACTGCTTAAAAATCGGCATATTCCTTTTGCCTAAAATTAATACTAGGGAGATCATTCGTCCATCTGCCTCTCATTTTCAACAGCAGGAATGTTAAAGGTGAAAGCTTAGAAATAAACACATTTCGTTTGTATGTTGTCTTAAGCTATATGCTATATAGCGGTTTCCTGCAAATGATCGAATACGGAGCAGACAATCCAGTGATCAGTATCATGATCATGGACCTTTCCAACTGAGATACGATGACGTGTCAACCACGTCAGCGAGCCTGACAAGCATGGGTCATTGAAACTATTTCTAACCTTGATCTTCGCGGGTAGAATATACACATTATTGCATTTTGTTTAACTACATTCCAACGTATGGCATATACTTGGATCTGATGGCACACAGCTGTCAGAATTCACATAGTGACAGGAGATACTAATATAGTGATTAGATAAAGTCATGGATCAGACAAACAGCAAAAAAAGAAAACTTTAAAATCCCCCTACCTTCGCGTGGATGAAAGCTGATATTTTTTGTAGTCCCAAGAAGGATCCAACGTAGCCGTATGTCCCATAGTCGTCCCAGATAGGAGGGGTGGCGTTGACCAGCTGAATGGCACGGGGGAAGTGCATCATGACAAAGATTGATTTGTTTAATGAACAACACATAATGTGTTTTCACATATCCACAGCTATGTACAAGACTATGGACAGAAAGTTTTACTATGTAATTAAACGGACAGGCTATCCCACAACTTCACGGCTGATGGTGGGGTTCTTCTGAAAAAGCCGTCATGCACAGAAAGAACTGAAATGCTTTATGTGTTCAACATCCCACTCAGGAAAATTCCACTTATATGGCGGCGGTCTGTAATTAATCGAGTCTGGACCAGACAATTCGGTGATCAACAGAATGAGCATCGATCTACGCAATTGAGACACGATGACATGTATCAACCAAGTCAACGAGCCTGACCACCCGATCCCATCAGTCGCCTCATACGACAAGCTTGGGCTGCTGAAGACCAATTCTAAAACAGATGTACCTACCCTGATGATCTTGAGGAGGTCGACGTTCTTGTAGTAGACGGTGTGGCCATCAGATGTGATGATCGACACGTTGCCAGGCATCTGGGCCTGATACAAAACAAGTATTTGTCGTATTATCTTGTATGTGTGTGATCATACGATAACATTTGTATTCATTTCTTGTACTCGTCTCTGAAAAAAGCCCCTCCAAAATTGTTAGCTCCTTATAACTGTGTCCAAACTGCACCCGTTTACTTTAATCCCTGTAGGATTTCACATTGGAATTGGCCCAAAGGAAAATATGCCTTGTGTAAGAAGTTAGTTAATGAATTGGCTGCTCATAGCTATTATAAACAATACGACCGCCTCCGTGGTGTAGTGGTTAGAGCGTCCGCCCGGAGAGCGGAAGGTCGCGGGTTCGATCCCCGACCGCGTCATACCAAAAGACGTTAAAATATGGTACTTGTTGGTCCCTGCCTGGCGCTCGGCATTAATGGGTACAACAAGGACTGGTCGGCTCGGAGTCAGTATAATGTGTCTGAGTGGGGTATTCATGCTTCACTGCGGCATGGTATCTCAGTGGGCTAGCACTATAAAACCAGCTTCAGTCTAGGCTAGTACAAGCAGCCGCACATACACATACACACGCATGCACGTCGTCATATGAGCGAAATATTCTCAAGCACGACGTTAAACCCAATTTCACCTCACCTCACCTCACCTCACCTCACCTCACCTATAAACAATACATATTCAAAAGGCAAGAGGCATTACAAATGGGTTTCACACACTGTGCCCATGTGGGGTTTCGAACCCGACCTTCGGCGTGAAGAGCAAACTTGGCTTTCCCAACATTCATATATTTTGATAATCTTTCTTAATCATATAGTATCCTTGCATATATAAATCAACGTTGGCGCAACCAGAAGTTCCAGGGTTTTTTTTGCCATTCTAACCTCTAACGTCATGCTTCCGTTCGATCCGGTGACGAATTCCATACTCGGAAAGCGGTCAACGATGGGCGTAAACCTACAATAAATAGTTTGTGACTGTTACTCTTCTAAATAAATTCATTATTCGTCCACAAAAAGCAGCACATGAATGTTTACAACTCATACATAACAATACGACTTTGTGTAAGGGCTCGTTTAACCTGAAACCTGGCGCAAACTCTAGGTTCCCAACAGAAGACCGATTGGTACATTGTATTTCAAAAACTGCAAGTCCGAGTATTTTGGCTTTTGTTGCCTAAAGTTCAGTATTAAATTCCACGTTAGAAAGTCTTGCATTAGGCAGGGACAAACCAAGGACTGACTGACTGAGTATGGTTTTACGCCGTTTTTAGCAATATTCCAGCAACATCACGGCGGGGGGACACCAGAAATGGGCTTCCCACATTGTACCCATGTGGGGATTCGAACCCGGGTCTTCGGCGTGACAAGCCAACGCTTTAACCACTAGGCTACCCCACCGCCCCACAAACCAAGGATCATTATCGAGGCTATGGGAGTCGACCCAACAACCAGCTGTTCCTGGCAGCTAAGGGACATAACTCTGCACAACAACGCGCGTTAGACACTAGTTCACTAGTGTCCGCCTTGAACATGTGAGTGAGTGAATGAGTTTAATTTTACGCCGCACTCAGCAATATATGGCGGTGGTACCCGTGAAGGTCCGGGTTAGAATGTACCTTCAGTAACCCATGCTTGTCGTCGATTAACGGGATCGGGTGGTCAGGCTCGCTTGCTTGGTTGACACATGTTATCGGTTCCCAATTGCGCAGATCGATGCTCATGCTGTTGATCACTGGATTGTCTGGTCCAGACTCGATTATTTACAGACCGCCGCCATATAGCTGGAATATTGCTGAGTGCGGCGTAAAACTAAACTCACTCACTCACTATGGCGGTGTAAATAATCGAGTCCTGACCACAAAATTCAGTGATCAACAGCAAGAACATCGATCTACGCAATTGGGATACGATGACATGTGTCAACCAAGTCAGCGAGCCAGATCACCCGATCCCGTTATCGTCGACCTCTACATTCTACCCGACAACCACCGCCATATATTGCTGGTGCGGGTTGCTGGACACCATGGGTTGCTGAAGATCAATTCAAACCCGGATCATCGCGGTTGCTTGAACATGTAGTGAATACTATGTTACTTGAGGTGAATATACGTTAGTATAGAAGTTACTATGAGACACATCACCTAATTTGTCATGATATACTGTAAATGAATAACAAATCTTACTGGCTCGCTCCATTGACAGATAAAACAACTGCAGCCAGGAGACATGTCGAATACCACGCGGACGCCATTTTGAAATGTTCCGTGATGAAAATGCTACACCTTGCACTCAAATTTCTTGTGATTTTCTTGGTACTTCAAACGCAAGCCTATCGTCATCCCTTTCCTTCTGTGTCATATTTCATCACCCTTTCGTATCTTAGCAAGGTAAACGCGCATCAAAGTTATCATTTTGGACTTAACACGTAACCAATTTGTTAGTCCATCAGTCCGCTGTAGGCAGATAATTCAGCCGGAACTACTTTCTGGGGTCGTAGTTTATCACGCGCTGTCTGTGGTGACTTTTTTTTCAAGGTGAAAATTGTTGTGTTTCTGAGACGTGTGAAATGTCACTGGACCTTCCCAGCACTCATTGTGTCGCGACAGAAGTACCCGGGTTTTATATCACATCCCTTCCGTTTCTCAAAACTTGGAACTTGAAAATATTGCGCTCGTGTTACCATCATGGCGTCTTTAATGTTGTTTGTTGCTGTCGTCTGCCAAGTTCTTCGCATCGCTGGTACTGCGTGAGTCATATGCTATTGTTTCCCGCTTGGACAAATCAAAGTACAAATGAATAATGTATATATTTAATAGTGAAAGTACATAAAAATGTCAGCTTCAAAATATGATCAAACTAATTTTATACGCAATGTTTAAACGGATTTTTTCCTGCATTTACAATAATTATCAAAATAATCGATTTACCTTTGGGCTTTGTGATTAGGCTGTTCACATGTGATACATGTGGTGTCCAAGTGACTATGTTCGAAATATGCCACGGTTACCCAGCAGTCAATGGGTACCCGGTAGGATGGTTGTTATCCTTCTAGCGCCCAATGGTCAGCTTGGAGCACACTGGTCCACTGAGCAGGGTATAAATAATGCTGTGCAATGAACATCTTGTTGGTCAATGGAAAGGACATATTATCATCTAGTCACCACGAAGACTTGGGTTCCGATTCCCCAGATGGTGCTCCCTACTACGATATGGCTTGTTCGGATTCCCCAGATGGTGCTCCCTACTACGATATGGCTTGTTCGGATTCCCCAGATGGTGCTCCCTACTACGATATGGCTTGTTCGGATTCCCCAGATGGTGCTCCCTACTACGATATGGCTTGTTCGGATTCCCCAGATGGTGCTCCCTACTACGATATGGCTTGTTCGGATTCCCCAGATGGTGCTCCCTACTACGATATGGCTTGTTCGGATTCCCCAGATGGTGCTCCCTACTACGATATGGCTTGTTCGGATTCCCCAGATGGTGCTCCCTACTACGATATGGCTTGTTCGGATTCCCCAGATGGTGCTCCCTATTACGATATGGCTTAACTATTGCAAGATATCCAACGACGCGTAACCTAGCCTCCTCACTTGTCTCGAAGTTACGGATACAAAAGACAAACCTGACGGTTGAAATATTCCGCGGTTGAAACATAGGAGACAAATGTTTCCAAATCTTTTTCACAGGAACCTCTTGCCAAAACTGGCTTAAAACCATATAATACAGGGCTCCAGATAAGGGCCGTATCGGCGTATGTACGGATATAGTAGGAAATAATTTAGAAAACGTAGCAGATACGCACTACAGCAATGGTGTACGGTCTTAGAATCATTTACAGACGTATTTATCTGAAAAAAGTATTGTTTTATTATTTATTGACCTGTTTACACAGGAGTAGCAATGCTGATGTGCATATGTGAAACGGAACACAAGATTACTGATACGCCATTAAAGTCCATTAAGTACTCTAAATGTACTCTTAAGGTTTTCCAGTACTCCTGCATCGAAAAAGTAAGGAGTAGTACTCCTGATGTTGAAAATGTATATGGAGTCCTGCCATAATCACTCTCCACGAGATCTCCAGGTTAACATGGTACCATATGATGGTAATCGTGACACTCTTACACATGAGTCCACTACCTTCGCCCAAAACTGACATCAATGGAGTTTTTAGTATATGTCCGTGAAATACCAGTGTCGCCTGAACGAATGATGCAGTTTTCCCCTGTAGGACTCACTTCGTGTAGGCGACGTTCTGACATGTTTTACATGAACGTGTTGGTTGCTTGTTGTTTTACGCCGCACACAGCAATGTTGCAGTTGTATGGTGGCGGACTATAAACAATCGAGTCTGGGCCAGACAATCCAGTGATCAGTAGCATGAGCATCGATCTACACAATTGGGATACGATAACTTGTGTCAACCGAGCGCGACCACCCGATTCCATCAGTCACCCCTTACGACAAGCATGGGTAACTGAAGACCAATTCTAGCCCGGATCTTCACGGGTGTATATATGCGGGTACAAGATTTCATCTTTCGAGATAACCGATCCCAAAGTGAAAGTATTATCTTCTTTCAGTTTCTTCGAGGTTCAGTACCCCAGTGTTATTTTGTCGGCAGAAGTAGGAGGAAATGTCACCATCAGGGTACGTGCTTGCATATCTTTACCCGTTCTTAATTATTATGTATCACTAAAAACTATACTGCATTATGAAAAATAATTTCGGAGAGATTTAATAGAGTTACTTTTTTTTATAACAGCGAAAGCCAAAATAAGAATATTGAAAAATAACATTTCGCTTTTTATAGAGAGTGAGTGAATATGGTTTTATGCCGCTTTTAGCATTATTCTAGCAAAATCACGGCGGGGGGACACCAGGAATGGGCTTCAGACATTGTACCCACGTTGGGATTCGAACCCGGGCCTTGGCGTGACGAGCGAACGCTTAAACCACTAGACTACCCCATCGCCCCCTCGCTTTTTATAACTGTTGTGGGGTAGTCTAATGGTTAAAGCGTCTGCTCGACACGCTGAAGACACATGTGTAAAATGTGTGAAGTCCAGTTCTGGTGATATTGCTGGAATATTGCCAAAAGCGGCGTAAAACCATACTCACCCACTAACTTGACTGTTGTTTTTCACACATAGGCTGGTCCCGACATTGGCAGCATCTTCCTCAAGTCGTCAAAGCGTGGGAGCATCTACATCGACGGCACCGACATGATGGCTATCATTGAGGTAGGTTGCACGTCATCACAAGTTTCACCTGTTGTTTATTGTGAATTGTCGTAGAGAAAAACAAGCAAACAAAAATTAAATGTCAACCAAACTGATATATACACAGATGGGGAGTATAATATCTATAGTATTCAAAACATAGTCTTATGATTTTTCAATACGATACTCTTCACAGAATGTCAGAGGAATGGGGGTGATGGGGTAGCCTAGTGGTTAAAGCGTTGGCTTGTCACGCCGAAGACCCGGGTTCGATTCCCCACATGGGTACAATACTCACTCACTCAGAGGAATGTCAGTACCATGCCTTATAAAACACATACCCGTTGAACCAGTGAAAGTGTCTGGATAACCGGGTAGCTGTGGTGGTTACCGCGAAGACGCCAGAAATGATCACCAGTTCTTTTCCTTGGCCTGACTGGACTTGTTCCTACTCTTACTCTAATATAAATGATTGTATCGGGGAGATGATAGAGAGTTCCTGATTGTACGTTCTGTCACGAGTTGCATGTGCTGGACGTGCCAGAAATGGGTTTCACACATTGTACCCATGTATGGGATCAAACCCGGTCTGGGAGAGTCAAACGATCACTTTAACTACTAGGCCATAACCCAGCTCTTATGTTTCGTCAACATGGTAAAGGTGAGTGTGGGTGGGCGTGGAAGAGAAAGGAGGGAGGGGTATAATAGGTACAATGCTAATTTACTCACTCATTCACTGTAAGACTTACTTACTGACTCCAGATGCTGAACAGTCTCCCGCCCATCTGGAGCGACATGTCCGAACACGGGTCGCTCGGGACCTTCCTGGGCGGGACAACAGTCGCCATCAAAGTCACAGCACAGGTAGGAGTCGTTGAACTCTTTGAAACATGATTTTTATTCAACACATATCTTTTTCACAGGACAATAACTATGCAAAATAATTGTTGATCTTCCTTTCCCTAAAACGCATATCTGTCGTATTTGTTGATTACTAAAAGATTATTTTCAATGGAAGCAATATTCCAAGTGTCCCTTGGATTGTAAGGTCCCAGTGTACACCTTTGGTGATGATATTTCAGTCACCATCAGCAAGTTTCTACTTTGTAGGAAAAATATAAGATTGCCTGACACCGTCTTAAAAAATGTTGAATTCAAGCAAAGTGTAAAATATCATAGATAGTAATCTTGGTAGGTCTTTGAGGTCTAAAAATAATAATATTTTTTCTCTCAAAAGGACCCAGAAGGAAATTCTATCCGGTATGAGAAAGTATCCGGTGCCTTTCCTCCGGGGGTTGTTTTGAACAAGGTCACAGGTGAAATCTCTGGTGTTACACCTGATATAGATGCGGTATATGAATTTGGCATCCGGGCAACTGACAATCACGGGAAACACGCCGATCAGACGTTTACCATCCTCACACGCGGTACGGAGCTTTAACTTGATCCACCATTGTCAAACGTGATAAGGGACCTAGAACACACTGCAAAGAGCTCTGCTTTTGACATAACGTCATTACACGCACACAGGAACTGACACCGCTCACGTGGTAAAGAAATTGCTCAAGAAACACTGTTGACATACGCTGAATGGAGTTTGCACTTTAAACATTGCCGTCACTTGGACTCTCTAAAAGCTCTTAACACCTTTGGCAGACCCATGGTTACTCATTGTAAGGAGCTTGCGTATGTAACACGCAGGGAGGTCACTCAAAGTTAGGATTTCTCGCTTTACATGTTTTACATGCGCTTAACGTTGTCATTTGAGAAACGTCATTTTTCAACAATCCATCTTTTTCTCTCTTGAGTTAGGCATCTCGCATACATTGTTTTATCTTCTATGCAGAGAAGAACCAGTGCCGTGTTATTCCATGTAAGAATGGAGGTTCCTGCATTGATGACATCGACGACTACTCCTGCGACTGCCCCAGCGCCTACGGGGGCAAGAATTGTCAGTTAGGTAGGTGTGGAAGTTGGAACTACTACTACTACTACTACTACTACTACTACTACTACTACTACTACTACTACGAAGTACCCGTGAAGATCCGGGTTAGAATTGGTCTTCAGTAACCCATGCTTGTCGTAAGAGGCGACTAACGGGATCAGGTGGTCAGGCTCGCTGACTTGGTTGACAGTGACGCATCCCAGTTGTGTAGATCGATGCTTACGCTGTTGATCACTGGGTAGTCTGGTCCAGACTCGATTATTTACAGACCGCCGCATATAGCTGGAATATTGCTGAGTGCGGCGTTAAACAACAAACAAAAACTACTATTTGTTCTTTACATATTAATAACAACACTTCAACAACTGCCACTGCCTCATCTACCATCAATTTAAAAAACCTTCCAAGGCACAGAATACTGTTTATCCACCAGACTGTGTGAACAACGCCGTGGGTGTAGACGTCGGTCTGATGCACATTCCCGACGCCCAGATGTCTGCCCACTACTCACACTCTGACTATGCCGCTTGGAACGGTCGTCTCAAAGGTTCGGGCTGGGTCGGGGAGAAAGTAGTCAACTCGTGGCTGCAAGTATGACGATGTTTACCGATTTATATTTATACACCAATATAGCATACACAATATCATCATTGAATCCTCTGTCAGTGATCGATTGTAACAAAATTCACATCGGTTACAGTTGGATCGGGTGGTCAGGCTCGCTGACTTGGGTGACATGTCATCGCATCCAAATTGCGTAGATCGATGCTCATGCTGTTGATCACTGGATTGTCTGGTCCCGATGCGATCATTCACAGACCGCCGCCATAGAGCTGGAATATTGCTGAGTGCGGCGTTAAACAACTACTAAACCAAACCAATACCAGTTCCATCATAAATTCTCGTGGGTTGTGAATTATACCCTGCAGGGTGTTGGGTCGAGATTCGAAAGGGAGACAACCCTTCTGGTATTTCGCAGATTGACCTTGGCTCGGTGATGGAGTGGTTCGCCGTAACGATGCAAGGGGCCGTCAGCTCATCCTTCTATACCACAACCTACACCATGGCGTACAGTGAGGACGGTGACAACTTCCAAGACGTCAAGGATGCCGCCAGTAACACTATGGTGGGAATAATTTGATAGAAGTGAAGAGCAGAGGACTGTAAAACTCCGGGGGTTAAATGAATTTTGGAAAAAATTAAGATGATTTGCTATGTGAGCATCAAAGTCGAATGTGGTGATCAAAGATATCAAAAACTGCTGTACAAATATAAGTGTCGAATAGCTCTACAGCCTCACTGCGACTTTACTGTAAGTGTCGAATGTATCACTTCATCACTAAGGCTTTAATGTAAATGTTGCTGTATATGTCGATTTGTAATTATTCTCCAGATATTCAACGGCAGTACTCTGTTCAACGCGATGACGAAGACCGTCCTCCTGCGCCTCTACAGGCCCGGTATGTTCGCTTCATCCCGCGCACAGCTGCCACGAACCCGGGCATGAGAGTCGAGGTGTTCGCCTGTGCTGAATAACGCCATGTTAGAGATCTGCAGAGGACGGTCAGTCAGCTGAATTAAGAAGAGAGAAGATGGTAGAGTTGTCCGCAAAATCTTGATAGACGGAATCAGAGACTAATTCAAAGTGAATTTTACCGAGCCCAAACAGGCAGACCTAGCTCGTTTGATAAAGCCGTAAAAAATGTTGTTTTGGGCATCGGGTCGTCACTTTTAACATTGAACGTCATTTATTAATATTGCTAATAAAAATACCTTATTCGCTGTTATTATTATCCATTAAACGATGTGCCCAGTTGTGTTTGCTAGTATTCACCTTTAATAGATGGGCGAAATCTGGGTGGAAATTGTGAATATACACAGCTGGGATTCTTACTGAATAGTAGCCAGATGAATTTCGATTAAATTCAACCAACGACGAGCTAACTCTTTTCTTTCATTGGTTAAAAATAAGAATACCAATGTATTATTTTATTAGATATTCGTGGCGAATGAGTTACTGATATTTTTATTGGAGGAAATAAAGTTCGTCCTTCACCTTCAATAGACTCGCACCAACGACGAGCTACTCTCTGATTGGTTAAAAATAAAAATACCAGTAATAGTTAAGAAATAAAGTTCAAAATAGTTAAGGGCAAACTATACTTTATTACAAAACACATTGGGGTAGAGCGAACTTTATTTCCTAAATAGAGTAGCTCGTCGTTGGTGCGAGTCTATTGAAGGTGAAGGACAAACATGGTGGCCTCGATCACTCGATACCGCTAATTTTCCAATAAAGTCGTGTATGGCAGGTAAAATCAGTAACTCATTTCATTTGAGATGTTGTAATGCGAAAGCGGAATATCTAGCGATTACGAAAAGGTTATGCCTTTTCGCCGATTGGGTGTTTTCCATTGAAATACTTAGTATTTCTTCGCCGAGAGGCGATGATTTTCGTAGGCAGGTTTTTGGCGTACAAATGAAAAAGTTGTCTTTTCCCGAGTTCCAAGCAAAGTTACTCTGTCAATAGTGCACCGATTTTGATAATGTTGGATTTAATCGAAAGGGAATTCATCTGGCTTTATTTCAGTAAGAATCCCGGCTGTGTATTTCACAATTTCCCACCCAGATTTCGCCCATCTACGAGAGGGGGGTGTTTGACAAGTTTGTGTGCGTTACATCCCTTTCCTTCTTTATATGACTATGGATATCAGTGTACGCTTGTAGGACCCTGGACGTATTATTTTCAGCAATACAAGCCCCTGTGCCTTCTACTCTCTCATCGTGACGGATGTGAATGGACCGTGGAGGGAAATTTGCTGAAAATGACCAGCAGCAACAAACGACATCAACGCTAGTTAATAGGCTCAAATAGCTTCAACAGGCGAATATAATAGATCGGCTAGATCATTGTTTTACGCCGCACTCAGCAATATTCCAGTTATATGGCGGCGGTCTGTAAATAATCAAGTCTGGACCAGACAGTCCAGTGGGCAACAGCATGAGCATTGTTCTACGCAATTGGGATATGATGACATGTGTCAACCAAGTCAGCGAGCCTGACCACCCGATCCCCTTAGTCGCCTCTGGAATATAGCTGAGTGCAGCGTAAAACTAAACTCACTCACTAAAATAAGACAATGAGTGATTTAATTTTATGCCACTATTAGCAATATTCCAGCAATATCATGACAGGGGACACCAGAAATGAGCTTCACACACTGTACCCATGTGGGAAATAGAACTGGGGTCTTCTGAGTGACAAGCAAATGCTTTAACCACCAGGCTACCCTACCTTCCCTTGTACAAATAGAGCATACTGCCCTCATTAGTGAATTAGTCAAAGTAAATGTTATAGTTTCTGTATTTTTCTAGTGTTTTTATTTGGACTATTCCATTATAATGTGTAGGTAACAGGTAGTAGCTAATATACTGAGTCAAAAAAGAAACTTCACAAAATGTAATTTGAAAAATAATGAATAATTTTTCTCTGATGATACATCTATGTATCCGAAATGGGATCCCTATCTTTCGACTCTAGAAAAACGTTAGCAAAACCCACTCAAACCCATCCATTCCACGTGCAAATGACGTCAGTGCCAAATCAGGTTTTGCACGTGCAGTCGATCACGTGATCTTCGCATCGAAGTTTTCTTCATATGCACGTGTTTGCATTGGCCTCAAGAATTGAAAAACACTTTTAAACCACAGTTCTAACGGTACTTGAAATGCCACGATTGTCAAATGTGCAACGTGAACGTGCCGTTGGCATGTTGCAAGCGGGAAGATCAGTTATTGACGTCGCAAGAGCAATGGGATGCAGCAGTACTGTGTATGACTTGCGCAGGTCGCTCTACAACAAACTGGCACCACTTCTGATCGCCCAAGATCGGGTCGTCTACGTGTGACGTCACGAGCAGAAGACCGTCAATTCGTCCTACGTCACCTATGTGACAGATTTCTGCCGGCTACACGAACAAGGGCTGAGATGTTTAGAGGTCGACTGTCTGCCAATCTCCATTCTCGACGTCCATATCGTGGTCCAATATTGACGCCGTTTCATCAACGTCAACGTCTGCTGTGGGCCCAACGTCACCTCCGATGGACCCAGAGAGACTGCATTCTCTTCCCACAGAGGTTACTTGTCATATCTTCCTACGAACCTCTATTCTAATACGGTCATATTTCCCGGTTCTCGTAAAATCCCTTAGTGACAAAAGATCGCAACACGAATTATCTCCCTTCTTTCTATCCAATCAGAACACGTGTTACATCGACTTAGATTCAACTTGACTAACACAAGCAAATGTGAGGCCACAAATATCCCCCATCTGCCGGGGACTTGTGTTGATGTTACACACAAGACGTTTAATGGCTAGCTTGTCTGTTGTCAACGAGGGTGATGGAGATGCCACTGATCCGCCATAACATGACTGAGTTCTGTCTAGAAGAAACGTTTGTGCATCGCGCAGGGGAAGAGGTTTAGTTTTCTCGAAGTATACGGAAATTACCGAGGCCTTGCGAATGATCACTTTTGAAACAACGTTGCTGATTGCACAACTAAATCTGATTGTCTCCAATCATGAGTCTTGAACGCTCACACCATGAAAGGGCCGTATTAGAACAGAGGTTACGTAGGAAGGTATGACAGGAGTAACCTCTGTGGGAAGAGAATGGAGAGACTGGAATCGAGTCGTCTTTAGCGATGAATCCAGGTTTACCCTCAGATTCGCGGACGGCAGGCATAGAGTCTGGAGACGATGTTGTGTACAGGAAGTCGACAGATTCGGGGGCTGAAGTTGCATGGTGTGGGGTGCTTTCTGTGGGAACAACCGTTCCCAAATTCTGGTCATCCGTAGAAACATCACAGCTGCTGCTTACCGCGACCAGGTGCTCACCCCTGAACTCGTTCCTTTCATGGCGGCTCATGGCCCAGGTCTACAGTTCCAGCATGATAATGCTCGGCCGCATACCGCGATGTTGACACGAAATTTCCTTCAAAACGCTGGAATCAACGCCATGGACTGGCCATCGAGGTCCCCATATGTTCACTGAACCGTAAATGTTGTTGTTATAACTGCCTGTCTTCGTAATGGGAGGACACCTTCTGCTATATTGCCTGCACAGCACAAACCACTAGGCTAACCCCACCGTCCCTGAAAGGAGGCAGAGGAGTTCGAGACGCAAATGGAGAACCTTGAATATGATCTACTGACTGACTGAGTTTGGTTTTACGCCGTTTTTAGCAACATTCCAGCAATATGACGGCGGGGACACCAGAAATGGGCTTCACACATTGTACCCATGTGGTGATTCGAATCCGGGTCTTCCGTGTGACGAGCCACTTTAACCATTAGGCTACCCCACCGCCCTGAATATGATCTACAATCAGGTAGACTTTCAACTGCCATCTCTAAAGTATAAAACAACTCTGGTTGAGATTTAAATATTTATTCCAAGTATAAAATTTCGGAAAAAGATTTCCCAGTGAAAGCCTGCTTTCACAGTCATGACCATACATAACATAATAACAACACATAGAAAATATTGTGTACTAATAAAACAGTTTTTGGAACAAAAAATTGCAAATTCATGGACGGATTACACTGTTACCTGTAACAATGGGAGGATATTGTAATTATTCACTCAATACCCGATGTGAGTAGAGAGTTGGTACTGAAACACTTCAGAACAGGACACATCTGGCTGTGCCTTCATGTTAATTGGTCAACCACCACCAAGTTTCTTTCACTCCTTGAAACATTTATGGGTAGATAAGCAATTCAAAATTTCCACCCATGCCAAAGAGATCACATAAAAGAAGAGAATGTCTAACATTGGGTACTGTCCTGTCTAAAGAGGTGTACAATCCTTTGCTTATATACAGTAACATTAATATCTCAAGAATTTTCACAAATATATTTTTGCTTAAAGGTATAAATTGAAAAAGCATTCCCCAACACCCAAACAAGATTCACAAACAAATATTTGATACCTTGTGACGTATTTAAACATATGACAGACTGTGAGCCTTGGGTACACAGAGCATGGGGAATAACTCTCTCACTACATCTGACCATGTACCAGCACACATTTTAACTGTTCTCAATGATGATTGGAGAGCTGAATCAATGTCCTACTGATCAACTGTCAAGAAAATGAATTGGGTTTTATGCTGCTTTTAGCAATATTCCAGCAATATCACATCAGGCAACACCAGAATTGGGCTTCAAACATTGTACCCATGTAGGAATCAGCCTTTGGTTGACAAGTAGAGTTAACCCCTAGGCTTCCCAACCACCAATGGTAAAGAACAAGATAAGATGTCTAAAGACCAGGCTTTAGTGAAGGTTCTCTGCATACAGTTCACAAATGTTTCTTTACTTCAATAAATTGAAACTAAAAAATATTGTACATGGAAATTTAACATGCTCTCCTTTTTGTCAAACAATTTCAGGAACAATCTCAGAATATATAAATATATATCCAGAATGTACAAATATATAAATTAAAATGATTATCATCTTGAAGTACGACAAACTTTGTGTTAATGCAGGGAATCAAGGACTAGCTAAATCCAAGAAATGCTAAAACATCTACAAACTGAAAGAACAAAGTAGAAACTAAACATTAATGATTCATATATTTATACTTCGATACAAAATATCATGACACAAAATATGCAATAAAGCTCTCTAAAACATGTCTTTGATTCTTATTAAATGCATAAATTAGTCAAAACAGCACATGTAAAGTGTAAATATACATGACTTAAAATGACTTCAATGTCATACTGTGAAAAGGTAAAAAATCAGTAATTGTTATGAGCTTAAAGTCAATAGGAAAAAATTTCATCAAAGCTGTATGTGATTTTTTTCTTTGGTGTATATTCCCACAAGAAAAATATAATACTTTGATTGTGTTAATGCTGACTTTGACAAGGTTAAGTAACACATCATTGATATGTGTCCGCAAAATAAGCTGGTGTAGAAGGCATTCTATATGACATAATATAATCTTCACATAAGGTAAACTCATTCACAGAGTATTTCTTCATCAATTTCTTTACACATAAAAGGGTGCATGCTGGGACATTATCACAGTAAATAATATGTCATGCAATGTTCACTTTATTGACATATCAGTATTGGTAAAATATGCATTTTACCCCTCATATCAGATGTTTGTATTCAGAGTTTACCCAAGTAAAATTGAGTTGCACCTGGTGCTAGTTAGACTATTAATTGTAAGTAGGTTGCACTATAATACTTGTTGGTCCTGGGTTGCACCAGTGCAAGTAACAAAGCACTAAATCAAGCTCTGTAAACCCATTCACAGAATATTTCTTCATCAATTTCTTTACACATAAAAGGGTGCATGCTGGGACATTATCACAGTAAATAATATGTCATGCAATGTTCACTTCTATTGACATATCAGTATTGGTAAACGCATTTTACCTCTCATATCACAGATATAACAGGGAATGTATGTGTACTTATATAAAAATTGTATAGAAACATAAATATTAGTTGCTGCTAGTAGGTACTAAAACGTAAGCTCACAGGTTAAAGCTATGAGCCAACGCATGTTTGCCATTTGGGTCATGTATACTATAATTCCATGCTTCATTTACTTTCAGTATGATCACATAATTACTTCAGACTTCAGATCGTTCCAGAAACTACAATTGTATGGCTGGCAATGTCAACAATTTCCGTCATGACTTTTCCACATGTGACACCATAAATTTTCAAATATGTAATCTGATAAAATGAGTAAGATATGACCTATATATATTTTGGTTTGATCAGCTAAATCAATTCCAATGACACCCATCCCACTATAAATAAAAACATGAAAATTATATATAAAATTAATATCTGAAGAAGATTGTCCCTTCACTTAAAAATAGTCAATATTTGCAATGTTCCTTGCTACAGGAGTTTTGATTTGAGTAATGCTGGATTTGCTGTGAAGAAAGATGCCCCTTCACCAGATAAATGCTGTTTTTGCTCTCGAGACCCCATTGCTGACATTCTGACAACACTGAGATGCCAAGGTCTGGTAGTGCTGTAACACTGCTCGATTCTCCTCCACCTTGGCTGACCGAGACTTCAGCTCCTCTCGGATGCTAGATGTAGGGGCTCCTGGTTCCACTGGCTCCTCATAGCTGGCTACAGTTACTGCCACCTTCTGGTCAACTAGCTCCAAACGCTCTGCCAAGGGAGGGAACTCCCTCAGGATGGCTGCACCAGAAGCTGCATACTGTAAGAGAACCAAATAGCTACATGTGAGTTGGCTGAAGGACAGCATACAAAACAAGTGGTAACAATGTTTTACAGTATAAGGATCAAACCCTAGATCTGGCTGTCACAGACCTCACTCCTGAATTAAAACATCTCAGTCTGATGCATCCTTTCTCATCTAGGTTCCCTACCAACTCCAGTTCATCAAACCCCACTCTCCTAACTTCATCCCTTCCTATACATCCCAACCCCAGTACATGAATCCCCACTTTCTCATGAACCCATCCCTTCCTATACATCCCAATCACTGTACATGAATCCTCACTTCCTCATGAACCCATCCCTTCCTATACATCCCAACCCCAGTACATGAATCCCACTTCCCAATCTCCATGAACCCATCCTTTCCCAACCCCATACATCCCAACCCCAGTACATGAATCCCCACTTTCCTCATGAACCCATCCCTTTATACATCCCAACCCCCTACACACCACACTTTCTCCCCCAGTACATCCCAACCCCAGTACATGAATCCCCACTTTCTCATGAACCCATCCTTTCCTATACATCCCAACCCCAGTACAAGAATCCCCACTTTCTCATGAACCCATCCTTTCCTATACATCCCAACCCCTGTACATGAATCCCCACTTTCTCATGAACCCATCCTTTCCTATACATCCCAACCCCAGTACAGAATCCCCACTCTTCCAGTACAAGAATCCACACTTTCTCATGAACCCATCCCTTCCTATACATCCCAATCCCTGTACATGAATCCCACTTTCTCATGAATCCATCCTTTCCTATACATCCCAACCCATCCTTTCCTATACATCCTATACATCCCAATCAACCCCAGTACAAGAATCCCCACTTCCTTTCCTCATCATGAGCTTTCCTATACATCCCAACCCCCTATACATCCCAACCCCTGTACATGAATCCCCACTTTCTCATGAACCCATCCTTTCCTATACATCCCAACCCCTGTACATGAATCCCCACTTTCTCATGAACCATCCTTTCCTATACATCCCAACCCCAGTACAAGAATCCCCACTCTCTCCTGAGCCACCCTTTCTAATACATCACTTCCTAGCAGATCAAACCCCCTCTATCCCAAACCATGCTATCCTATGCATTACAACCCTATATATCACATTCCATCTAATCCGTTCTGTCAGATTCCACGCTGTCCACTCCCACCATCTGATAGACATCTCCTTACCCACCTTGTTGAATGTTGTGAGGATGTTTTTCAGTGCTTTGCTCATGTGAGTGTCCTCGCTGAGTCGCTTCACTCTCATCTGATAGACATCTCCCTTCTCCACCAGCTGAAACAACAAAAAACAAACCATTACACAACAACACTGATGCAGGGTCACACAGTCAAACTCTGTAGAGTTACCTCCCTTCTCCAACAGCTGAAACAACAGAATACAGGCCAATACAGCCCTTATATCACAACACCAATAATAATAATAATGACAATGAGAATATTTATAACGCACGTTTTCCAGGCTAGATATCCTGCTCAAATCGCACAATCTGATCATTATTACCCCGATAACCCAAGCTGCCTGTTAGGCGCTAGAAGGTTAATAGTCTCACGACTTATTTCACCGGGTACCCATTTCCTGCTGGGTGAACAGAGGCAATTGTGAACAAACTCACTTGCCTAAGGTGAGACCACATGTATCACATGTGCTTCATTGTGGGGCAATGTCAGACCTTCAAGTCAAACTCTGCAGAGTTACCTCCCTTCTCCACGAGCTAAATCAACAAAATACAGGCCAATACAGCCCTTATATCACAACACCGATGTCAGACATTCAAGTCAAACTCTGTAGAGTTACCTCCCTTCTCCACGACCTAAATCAACAAAATACAGGCCAATACAGCCCTTATATCACAACACCGATGTGAGGCATTCAAATCAAACTCTGTAGAGTTACCTCCCTTCTCCATGATCTAAATCAACAAAATACAGGCCAATACAGCCCTTATATCACAACACCGATGTCAGACATTCAAGTCAAACCCTGTAGAGTTACCTCCCTTCTCCACGATCTAAATCAACAAAATACAGGCCAATACAGCCCTTATATCACAACACTGATGTCTGACCTTCAAGTCAAACTGTGTGCTATGTGACATCACTCGGCGGCCATATTGAAACCAGTAATATTACCTGTAATGATTCTCTTGGGGTGATTAAAGAAGTGTGAAACAAGAAGATGTTGCGTGGTTATATGAGAAGGTGATACACTACAAAAACACTGTTCCAGATTGTCGGCACAGTCATCCACACAGTCATTCAATGTATCATGGGATATGTATCTAAATGAGTTAGCAAATCCTCCCACAACCGAGACAAGGCATGAAGAATGGAACACAGTCACAAAATGTACGAGTTTAAGTTGCAAGAGGGCTCGGGCGTACAATCTAAATAAGAAAATGGGCCAATGTTATAGCCAGATACAATGACGTGAGTACGTACCTGCAACTTGAAGTCTGCTTCACCCAGGTATTTCCGCAATCCCACAATGCAGTTCTCTATACTTCCTTCACCGTGACCTATGACCTCTACATCTTCACACAAGGACACAAACTTCTTGAAAGACTTGTCGTTGAGATTTCTAAGGGTGTCAATGCGGTCGAAGATTTTCACAAGTTCCTTTTCCCCAAAAGCCTTGTCAATCTGAAACAGATTCTCTAGGTAAATACATTGTATTGTGTTTGCCTGTAATTTGGCTGTTTGTTGTTTAACACCACACTCAGCAAAATGTCGGCCACAAGGCAGTGGTCTGCAAAACATCGAGTCTGGACAATACATTCAAACAATGACATGTGTCAACCAAATCAGCGAGCCTGACCACCCAATCCCTTTAGTATCCTTTTACAACATACATGGGTACTGAAGACCAATTCTACACCGGATCTTCACAGGTTCTGTAATTTGACTGACTAACAGCGAGCAACAATATGACAAGACATCGTACAATTTCCTAGGTATTTGTTAAACTCATTAATTTGATTTGACACAGTTTCAATCACCTGTTCAATGCCAATAGTTTTCAGCTTCCTGGTGATCTTCTTCTCGTCATTATTATCTGGAACTTCCTCTGTCTGTGTCCGAGACTTCCATCTCCGCTCCATAAACTGATCCTCCAGGATGTGTCTGATGAAGCTCTGGATGGCGGTGTGGACAGAGCCATCGCCATCACGGGCTGACACCATCACACTGTAACAGGTGCACAATGTCACAGATATTGTCACAGATATCAGTCCAACCTCACTTATGCAGACACTCTTCTCAAATAATGTCTGGATAAATGAATTTCACAATATCCTAATCACTTCACTACCAAAATATTATTGAGTCGAAAAAAACAAATAACCTCCTATTGTGTTATGCTACCGATCTACAATGAGTCAAAGATTCCTATGTGATATACCAGTGTATGAAATAAGGCCCGTCCGACCGCCCGACATGGTCTAGATTTCTGACGGACAGTTTAGATGTTCCATACATCTGAGTAAATTCACCATATTTGGTCTGGCTAAATCCATTTTGAGCTGGTAACATTTTTAAGTTACCAGCCCTGATGTCAAGCTGGATTTTTGGCTTATTTCATACACTGGATATACTGTGTATCACAGATATACAGTGTGTTCACGTCTTGCATGACCAGCAGTGATTGTCCACCAACACCACCAAGAGACTCACCTGCCCACAAAGTTGTGTTCCTCCGCCATCTTCTCCAGCTCCAATACACAGGCTGGCTTCTTAATCTCCCTGGCAGAGCGTATTTCAACATCGTCACAAGCTGTGAACAATCACAAACATCAACAGTATTAACAAACATCACCAGCTACACACAAACTTCACCAGCTACACACAAACATCACCAGCTACACACAAACATCACCAGCTACACACAAACATCACCAGCTACACACAGACATCACCAGCTACACACAGACATCACCAGCTACACACAAACATCACCAGCTACACACAGACATCACCAGCTTCACACAGACATCACCAGCTATACACAAACATCACCAGATACACACAGACATCACCAGCTACACACAAACATCACTAGCTACACACAGACATCACCAGCTACACACAAACATCACCAGCTACACACAAACATCACCAGCTACACACAAACATCACCAGATACAAACAGACATCACCAGCTACACACAAACATCACCAGCTTCACGCAAACATCACTACACACAGTACTCACTTAGTTTGCTGTAATCTGTGTCCTTCAAACGCTTCCCTTGAGGATACAAGCTCTGCCCTTCAGCCTCCATTCTCTGTTCCACCTGCAGACATTCACAAGTCAGTGCTTGCATCACTTTAAATACACAGCCCACAATGAATGGACATTGTAGGTAAGCCAAAACCAGGGATGTCATGATTCACCAATACATTGGAGCATGGATTATTTCTCAGAAGATGAGAAACACATTACAAACTTCAATGTTTAGATTCATATTTTGTTCTTGCATTGATTCACAAATTAATCCAAGAGTGCTCTTCCCACAGATTGTCACCATATGTCTCAAATAATGCAGATGCCAGGTCACTAACCCCCTCATGGAGTCCCTCATATTTAATTTCAACATTTTAGGTGGGCAAATCTCAGATATTTTATGAACAGGTATCATCATCATCATCATTTCTGGGCAAGGAAAGTCACTCACTATGTCACATTTGGTTCCTAAGAGAAGAACAGGAAACTTGACAGGGTCCACAGCGAGTGTGCCAGTCCCATCCTGTTTCCTGTCTCCATCACTGGGAGGTGTTGTCTTCTCTATGTTTGTCACGACAATCTGTTTCCATACATTAGCCATCATGATGGACTCTGGATCCGACACATCGACTACCACTGCAAACACAAATATCAATTATCCCATATTATGTCAGTATGTAGTAAGGATCTTCTGTGACAAAACCCATCTCTTCCATTAGTAGATTCTGTTCAAATCTCGAAATAATCGACAAATATAGCTAAGCTTACTTGACAGACAGTGACAGGATTTCTTCACCATTAGTTGGTTGACACATGTCATCAGTTCCCAATTGCGCAGATCGATGCTCATGCTGTTGATCACTGGATTGTCTGGTCCAGACTCGATTTTTACAGACCGCCCCCATATAGCTGGAATATTGCTGAGTGCGGCGTAAAACTAAACTCACTCACTCACTCTTCACCATTAGACTGTGTTTTGCACTGTTCTACTGAATACAGCACTGCGTGTTGCAACAATTTTTGCAAAGTTGCAATATGATGGAGGCAAACAAGTCAACTTCACACCTTTATCTTGTATGTACATATGTATTTGGTTGCTCTGGCTTCAGTCTAACAGCTGCCCGAATGTTGCAAAGTAATCACTTTCAACATCATAAAAGCAGAGTTCAAGATCCCCGAGAAACTGATGGAGAATTGCCATCTACATAATGGCAAATGCTACTTGACAAAGCATTGGCAACTCCCATATTTATATTTTAATCTCTGTCAAATCAAACTGGTGTTAACCTAGGAGTGAGTGAGTTTAGTTTCGTGGCGCCGGTTACAAACATCGAGCAATATCCCATTGTATTGTTATGGCCATGCTGTGATCTGTAAATAATCAAAAGTCTGACGATACAAAAACAATCCAATTTGAAACCTCAACAGCATCCAAATGAATTCATGCTTCATACTCAATAACACCCTGAAATGACAACACATGAATCTCCTAAATGTCACTCCCATATTTCAAAACTGACCACCCGATCCCGCCTAATGTCACCTCTTCACGACAAGCATAATCATAAACATGGGCAAGATGGCAAGCATGGGTTGCTGAAGATGTTGCTGGATTCTACCTTGGATCTAAACTCAGGTCTGTTAACAGTTAACCTAGGAACCCTGCAAGGAAGATTCTGACTAGTAGCTACTTAATACAAGACGTACCAATGGCAGCATCCAGGTCTCTGAAGTAGGACTTGTAGAGGTCAATGTCCTCCCTTCCAGGAATGTCCCAGAGAGACAGAGATACAACAGCATGGCTTGGCAGGTTCACCTTCATCACATGGTTCTCTGAACAAGGGAGATAATTCCATGGATACATAACTTCTTTAATATGAGTGCAACATTTTGTACAGAAAAGTGACTTAAGGAGTTATATACATGCGGATAATTGATGTTTATACTAGTGTTGGGAATCGGAAACCAAATCCATTATCAATTATCGGAGGACTTGTGGTGAATGATTATCGATTATAATCAAAATAGATACATTTTTCATGTAATCACCAATTTTAAGGGTTTTTCACCAGGTTTTTCTAATTAATGTTTTTTCTATAACTAATACTGTCATGCAATGAAATGCACGCATGCAAGTAATACACTGGAAATGCAATTAAACAATAAAAGTGGTCAAAATTTTACAATGAGCATAGCTCTACGCTGTTGAGCGCATGTTTGTTCGTGAATATTCATCAAATCAAATGGTAAGTATACTTAATTCAAGGGTGTTCTACAAAAACAACAAAATTCTGATTAATCAAAAATGGTTTTTTTTACAATCGATAATCAATTTTTAATCCTTCTTTTGATCGATTTTCGGGTTTTTTCGATCATCGGAACACCACTAGTTTATACCCAGTTAAATGTTGATATCTTGATATTTTAAGAACGTTTAAGGTTGAAATATGAAGCAGGGTTCATGTACATACCAGAAAAAATAGGATTAACAAGGCATTATGAGGTGACGCTATGAATACACAATGTTTGTTAGAAAGTGGTCAAACGTAAAATAATGAACCCCTAATGAACTGACGAATATAACGTTAAGTGAGTTCAAATTTTGCAAAGCTTGTGATCTACAGTAACAGTTGTCAGACTTTCAGTTTGTGTAAGCTGCGTTGGCTGAGAGAGTTAGATCGCTGATTTGTGTGCTGGCGATTAAGTGCTGTACTGAGAATGTGAGTTCGAATCCCGGATCAGACTCAACCAGAAAAAGTACAAGAATCTAATGTCCATTGTCCATCATATATATCTACAGTCAAATCCCGATGAGTCGAATGCTGGTGTCTCGAATATTATGCATAACTCGAAGTACCTGTCGGTCCCGACCATTCCCTGTTATAGTTGTCATCATTTGAATACTGGTTACACGAAGTTGTCTCATAAATACACACGATGACTCGAGAAGAAAATTTGGTCCCATGAGATTCAAACAACAGCAATCTTGTATACATAAGCCGAGGTCAGTCAATGAGAAGTTGATTGGTGTAGCAGACTGATCCAATTAACAAACCAGCGCAGCTCACACCTTTCCGCCTTTGACGGGTGAGTTCAAAAGGCAGATTAGTGATTTTACGGAAATCACTGTCTGTGCTAATCAGACTGGAACTGATAAGGTGCCCCTATTAGTGATAGGGAAATCATTAGATAAACAAATGCTTAGGCGGAGGAATTAGGACTGGATCATCTTTTTTTCTACCCTCATAGACATACCTATGTCTCGAATACATCGATAAGTCGAATTCATTACTTGGTCCCCAGAGATTCGACTCATCGGGATTTGACTGTATATCACATAAGCTATTGAAACGAATGACATTCATGCACACTATCACCAATACTAATGACATTTTAAACACCTATCGTCGACATAAGTGCTATTATACAGCAAGCAAATCCGAAAGTTCTATAGTGTGATATATTGTTACATTCCAGGTCATTTACAAAAAATCTGGCAACAGGCTTCTTCACAAGGAAGCTATAAACCAAAAACAGCTTTATCAAAGTAAGTGGGAAAAGAATTGAACATAGATATCACTCTTAATCTATGGAAAACACATAATTTTATACCATTTTGAGCATCATATAGTGCTAGGCACAGATGGCTTCAATACCGTATTCTCCATAGGATCCTTACAACCAATAAAGATTTATATAAATACAAACTAATAGAATCAGTACTTTGTACATTTTGCGATGTTGAAATAGAATCTATCATTGAATGCAATTTACAAGATCTACTAGAATGGAATGACACCATTATTATCGATTCAAAGAAAGAAGAAATGATTACTGAATTTCATTTTCATATTACCTAAAGAGTACATATATTATAGAAAGTTAGCTTGTACCCTTGTTAAACCAAATTAAATTACAATTACCAATTACACAAATTTAATGCATACTCTCATTGCAAATACGACACTTTTGTTACATTTTGGTTGTTCTTGCCACAATCTATTTACATAGATAATGACTTTGTAATTTGACTCCTATATAATGCAACAAATATGCTGACTTGTTAAATGTGCATGATATGCTGTACCCAGATGAAAAAGAAATAAAGTGATAAAAAAAATATTTTGTTTAAATCTGGCAACAGCATACTTATTAGTATATAGAGTTGCTGATTTAGTTTGTTATTTACTCTAAACTTAGTAGTCTAGTAAATTGATTGCAATGGACCAAGTCTTCAAAATCTCCCAAACCCACAGTTCCATGCGACTATACCTCTGCCATTATTAGGCTAGCAATGTTATTTATTACAAATCCTCGCACACCCGTGAAGCTCCGGGTAGATATCTTCAGCAACCCATGCTTGCCATAATATGATGTTATCATTGTGTGCCAATAATGACCACCAAATCAGGTTGCTGACTTGACCCAAACATGTCCAACGGTTGACTGTATTGAGCAGATCGATGCTCATGGCTTAGATCACTGGATATATATAATTTTGATATTTAACAAACAAGCCCATTTAAATTGAAATTGCTGAGCCCAGGGAGACCAGAGATTCAGAACCTCACTACAATCTAGACTTTCTTACTCAGATATCACATCACATGCTGTAATATGATTTATCAGTAGTGCCAATAATGTGGTTCCAAATAGGGGACTGTGAACATAACCAACTAACTGTAGGTATGCTTACCAATGACAGCCCTCTGTGTAGGAATGTAGAGTGGGCTGAACTGATTGCGCATATAACGCAGGAATATGTTGGTCTTTCCCACTGATGGATCACCTGCAACACAGAGACATGCACCGGTTCTCAACTAGAAGGATCTGCACAGCAAGTTTCAACAAAAGAATATTCAACGGTTTAGGAGTTCCGATCCGGAAATGGAAATCAGTAAGCAGACAAATGGATGGATGGATGGACATAATAAATGATATATAAGACAAAACTGGATAACTATGGATGGACATTCTAATGCCTTTGACTGAACTGACTGACTGACTGAAGCAATATTCCAAAACATCACGGCAGGGGACACCAGAAATAACTACTTGTACCCATGTGGGATTCAACCAACTTTGGCGTCTAAATGCCTTTGAAGAAGATGATGATTTTTATGGAGAAGCATGTGCAATTCGTGAATCATATAGTTTACTGCCCATGAAAATGTTTACTCTAAGCCTTGCAATGCACTCACCAGCAATTACTATTTTCATTGCTGGAACTGTTTTAGTTTTCAGAATAGACCGTGACTGTCCATCTGAAAAAGGGAAAATATATTTTGTATTGTGTAAGATGCATGATATTTTATAAGTGCAAATTTAGCAGCATTAAAACCGGTATTATCAATAAAATGGAAATCAATTCTACGACTTTATTTGTATGTGATATTAGAAATATTAAGTCAAAGCCTGAGAGAGAGAGAGAGAGAGAGAGAGAGAGAGAGAGAGAGAGAGAGAGAGAGAGAGAGAGAGAGAGAGAGAGAGAGAGAGAGAGAGAGAGAGAGAGAGAGAGAGAGAGAAAGAAGAGAAAGAAAGAAAGAGAGAGAGAGAGAAAGAAAGAGAGAGAGACTGGCTGGCTGGCTATACAGTGCTTGAGCCAAATGCTGACGTAAAGTGCGCGAAAACCGAGACCAATCTAAAGACTAAACAGCACGACAAACAGCACAACGACTTATCACTGTAACAATCGTTAGTCGATTCTAATCTCACCCTGGACAGTAGTTCTATCTGAGCTGCATCCAGTACCCATGTCTCATGTAATCATTGCTAACAGATATATGGATGAAAGGTGTTTTCGATTCCGCAGTCGATTTCAGGTGTTTACGAATTACACTCGGATGTTATCGGACTTGCTCGGTATGTAGGTAAAGGAACGGGTCGATCGAGTAATGGACTACATGACAGATTGTTCCGATTGCTGTTGTTTATAGTTTCTATGTTTAAAACGTCACCCGAGCACACAAATGGGTGACGTCACATTGTGTGTCAAGCTGTATCGTGTCTTACCTGAGACCATATACCTATAGATGGTCTCTGGTCTTACACACCTTCATGCTCACAAATAAGAAACATGGACAATAGCTCATATTCTCTGTGTAGAAATTAGAAGGCATTATATCGAACCTATCAGTCGGAGCCCTATCGAAACTATCAGTCCAAATATCAGTGTCAGAATTTTAAATGCGAAAAGAAATATACACGAAGTACTGTCTAATATAGATTTCACGTGAATGACTTTCGTTACAAGTGTGACGTAATACAGTTATCGTTATGTTTGATATGACATCAAGACAATATTGTTATGAGACAGTGTTTTACCAGAGACAATATACCGAGGTTTTACGCAAAGATGTTTCACTAGTTATACATTGTACCAGTCGACTGACTGACTGAGTTTGGTTTTACGCCGCTTTTAGCAATATTCCAGCAACATCACGGCGGGGGACACCAGAAATGGGCTTCACACATTGTACCCATGTGGGGATTCGAACCCGGGTCTTCGGTGTGACGAGCCAACGCTTTAACCACTAGGCTACCCCACCGCCCCTGTACACGTACCAGTCGAGTTAATGAAGGGAGGTGGTGTGCTATATTTAGATCGATACTATATTTTGACAGAGTGCTGTAATGCACTAGAACCCTCCCTTGATGTGGAGAACATTACCCGTTGTTGTAGAATTATGCAGACTCTATTGGGACTGGCCAAAGTGAGAAAAAAACACTATACGCTGAATCAGTAAAAGAAATAAAAAGACTCAAGCAACGTACAATACCCTGGGCGGATCTACAATCAGTAAAGGCTCACCATATCGACCAGGGAATATGGTTCTAGGCATCGCTTCGGAACGTTTGGCTAAACCAGAAACAGGCTCTGCTAGATCAGACAATAACCACATGTGTCTGAAGTCGATGGCAAATGTTGGCTTTGAGTTTATGTAACATTCTTAAGAAAAAACTCAGTTTCCAAAAATGTGCCAAAATATGCTGGATTTCATTAAATAACAATTTCCTTTTTCTATATGAACACAATTCCATCCAGATATGTAGTTCGGTTACAGAGACGTGTTACAGAACATGGACTTGGCAATAACTCTCCATGTAAATTCCACTTCATATGTGTGTGTGTGTGAGTTTGGTTTTACGCCGCTTTTAGCAATATTCCAGCAATATCACGGCGGGGAACACCGGAAAAATGGGCTTCACACACTGTACCCAAGATTTCCGTTACGGGTTTTCGATCAAGAACTACCGGGTCTTCGGCGTGACGAGCGAACGCTTTAACCACTAGGCTACCCTACAGGGACGCCCCCACAGAACATTCATATGGCTCATATGCCAAGACTCATGGTACTGTTGCAAACCTGTGTATCATATTATCACAGATGACTTCTCCTTTGATGACAATAACTATAGACCATAATATCGTGACGAACATTCTCCACCAATGGGATTTTCATTACATACGAATTATACGAAACGAGTGTCCTTCCTATGGTATCTGACCGAGCGAAAGCGAGATCGAATAACATAGGAAGATCACGAGTTTCGTATAATTCGTATGTAATGAACCGAGTGTGGTTTTATTTATTACCCACGTCTTACATGCATTAAATTGACAAAATAGCGTATTTTTGTTAATATTTTGGTTTCAAACCGAAACCGGTTTCATAAAGAGGTTGCGGAAGAGTTTTGTACTGTAGTACAATATTTGCATGACGTCACTGTAATGACGTCACTGCCTTATTAACCGACGTCACGATGCATGTCAGTTGTCATCGCCTCGTACAGCCTCCTACAGTAAACTTCTCCGTAGCACCCGTTTCTTGGTTTGCAGTTGCTTCATTCGGCTAACATCACTGGTGGAAACATTGCGTTTACGTTTTCGACGGATATAATGTCTCAGTTCGACTCACAATTAAACAGCGACACGGCAACGTTCGCGATGTTTATTCCACAATGCATTTAAGTTGTAGAATGAATGAATTCACGTGTTTGTTATGAATGAAAAATAGTTACGTCAGAATGTGACCTAATTGAGAGGTCATCGGTTATCAATCAAATCGTTAGAATCTCAGGTCAAGTCGTTACGACACAGGTCAACGCGATACGACACTCGTGTGACGTACGAGATTAGTATGCAACTACCCATACGTTGACCACGTGGGTAATAAGATGCTACCATGGAAACAGCCAGAAACGGCCGGCTGATGACATTTCACTGCTGTACCCGTACTCGATGTCAATGAGTGCAGACACAAAAACGTGTGTGGACCTTTTGGTTTACTTTTGTGTTTACAATGTCGATAAACATCATGTGTTGGCCAATTTCCGGGTGTTATTGAGTATTTGAAGCACGGGAATATTTCATTTGAAACCTCCGGCTGACGCCGTCGGTTCCAAATGAATTCCCGTGCTTCAAATACTCAATAACACCAAGTAACTTAACTCGTTTAATCTAAATGGTATTACACGGAAGGTCGTTTAGTATCCTCTATTTACACAATAGAAGCAGGTATTCCAGAACATCCAATTGTCAATGCGCGATGCTGTCATTGGTAGAAAGCACAAACTGGAAAAGAGGGAGCGGAACTGGAACACGCCCATTCAATCCCACCCCGTTTCTGTCAAAAGTCTGGCTGTCCTGTATGAAACGTTTTTAGTCGTTCCCACAGACAAGGCCTGAAATAAACCAACCATTATATGTAAACACCAATACATAAATTGTGTGATAAAACAGCCTAGTACAAGTGACATATCACATAATTCCACATATAACGCCATTATGTTAACTGAGGAAGTAACCTGCCAAAGCCATTTAACGGTGCTATCAACGTTTGGCTTCACTCTGAAACCCGAAGACATGTCCAGTCCTCATTTGTACAATATTCCAAAGCTCGAGTAAAAAATCCGCGCAAAGAGATATATTGCTGGGCCTAGTAAATGTACCACCAAATTCTTGTCTCAAACATTAACCATATTCCTTAATAGAACAACTAAGGACCGTCTCTATAGCCACAAAAAGTATTTGAGACAGCGTAATTAATTACATGTACATTCCCAAAATCTCAAGGGATGTCCTTTAATTTTTACAATCTCAGTAATTTAACGTACCGCGTTCAGTTCTGTTAAAGCATATATTTAACAACGTTCATCACCACTATTCCACATGACAAACTTCATTCCTTTACCATTGGGTATTTGAAAACAAACGTGGTAAACAAAAATATACTTGCATATATGTCTTCAGAGGTTCAAGACATTTTGTCAAAAGTGAAAACTGTGAAGTTTGAAGTTTACTGAGAAAACAATACTTCCTCATTAATAACACCTACGAAATATTTTAGGGAAATACGTTCTGACAAGAAAGTTACATTCCCATAGGTGCCAACTGTATCCCACTCATTGCGTTGAAGTCAGTTTCTTTATGCATATGAATCAGAATTTCTGCTCGGCTTTTGGATAAACAATTTGACTGTTCAAAGCAACATGAATATCGATGATACTGAAATAAAGGAAACACGTGTCACCGCCTTAGATCTATGCATAAAGACTGCACGACAAGGCTGCATGATGACAAGGATGATTTCCACTTCCCAGTTGTCAAGTTTCCTTTCATGTCGAGCAATATTCCAAAAGCTCCAGCCTTTGGTGTTTACATTTCACGACTTTTGAAGTACAATGGAGCATGCTATGTTTCCACAAGAATTCAAAGAGCGCCATACGACTCCAGCTCAGAAGTTGCTCTATCAAAGTTGCAACATTCAAGGCCTCAGTAACACTTTCAAGAAGCTTTATGGTAGACCTTTGGAGGACATTTCAAAATGTGATGCATCAGTGACAATAATGATGTCTGGGTGCCGTTCCACTAACCGATCTTAGCCTTACGCCAATCGTAAACCCCTAAAATCCCAGTCTTAGCGTGATGTTAAGATCGGCTTACCGTTCCACTAACCAATCTTACCCAAGTCAATCATAAAGTTAAGATCCAAAGTCTAAGTTGCTCATGACCAACTTAGGATCGCTAAAATCAATCGTGCCTCGCATTTCTCTATCTCTCGCACGTTAAGAGTCTCGATCTAAGCTTAGATCGGATCGTAAGATCGGGACCGGCTACGATCGGCCTAAGATTGGTTAGTGGAATGGGTGTAACTTTTAGCTAAGACGATTGTAAAATTGGCGTAACTTGCTAAGATTGATCTTAGATAAGATCGGTTAGTGGAACGGCACCCTGGCTGTTCCCTATCTTGACTTGTATCACATGTTCCTGTTGTTTCAGGTGACCAGTCCTTGCGTATGTTTATGACGGTTGCCATCTTTTCGCGAACACCGGGTGTCATCACTTTTGATGACAGTAAATTCTAGAACACGGGAAGCGTGGCAATATCATGGACCCGTGTTAGTCCAGCAGTCGGAATAGTTTCATCATCTGCCTATATTATACTTCCATTTCCGTAGACCGCCGTGACGATCCAGGTTAGAATTGATCTTCAACAGCCCCATGCGTGTTTGTAGTAACTGAGGCGTCTAATTGGGTCGGGTGGTCAGGCTCGCGGACTTGGTTGACACGTTTCATCGTATCCCAATTGCGTAGATCGATGCTCATGATGGCAATCACTCTACTGTCTGGTCCAAACTGGATTATTTACGAAACGTATCACAGCTTGCCTTTACATGTGGTATCGCACATTTAAAATACACATGTGAAAAACTATTGAGAATACCAGACGAACTGAATACGACTTTCATAGAGGATCTATGGGATAGCTGAGATGAAAAACACGCTAACGTGAGAGAATGAATGATGGTCACCCCTTTTCTCTCCAAAAGTCAACTATTACTCCCTAAAATCTGAAAATGATGCACACTTTGACTGACATTTTTAGTATA